TGTCATTTCGAATTCCATACACCTAGCAAAACAATGAGCAATTCTAATCGGATATAATTCAAATTCTTTTTCCCATCCATTCTTTTGCTCTATTTTGTAAATTTTCATTTTTTTGTTGTTACAATTTCTCATGAAAAACTCATCTACAAAGACCTATTTTCCAGTAAAAAAAAATCACAATGAATTCAACGATTCGTTTTAGAATCATTATCGATAACAAACAAACAAACAAAAAAGAATAGAAACATTATAATGGAGCATCAAATGAAATCAGAAAATTATCTTTTAATTTTTACCATCATTATCATTATCATCATATAATATCCGTCCATTTTCCAGTGTGCTTATGTTTGTGTGGTATATTTTGATTTAAGTTTAACACACCACATCATCATCATATCGGTTTGATAATAATAAAAATGATGATGTTTAATGTTTACATTGCAATCAATATCTCCCATGGATGTATCTTTTTTTCTCTCCATAGATGTATTCTTTGATTGCCATCATCATCATATCATGGCCATGATGATAATGATGATGTTGATGGTTTGTTGGTTGATGTCTCATTATCATTTCTGTCAATAAAAAAAACAAATCATCAACTTTGACACACCGAGAGAGAGAGAGAAAAGTTTTTTTCATTTTCTATCAATAATTATTGCTCGTTTTTTGGATCGATTTTTTTGCTTGCTGGGAAACCATAACAACCAAACATCATTTGTTGTTCAACATCAAATGATGTTGTTGTTTTTGGTGTGATGATCATTGAAAATTGAACAACAACAGAAAAAAATGTCATGGTTACCGTTGATTTTTTTTCTTTATATCATCGTTTATGTATCTATTTGTACCTGTGTGTGTTTATGTAAAAAATTGTTCAAAAAAAACATTACATAAGATTTTTTTAAAAAGAAGCTTTTGAAAAAATCAATCATTTCGACTGAGAGAATATTCATCATTTTTGTTGTTGTTGATGATAATTATGATGGTGGTGGTGTGATTTTTTTTCGTTCGAAACGACCGTATCCATTGGATACATTGGATTATTTTTTGTTCACATTTGAAATTCTGTTTCATTGTTTTGAGGGAAAAAATTTGCACAAAATGCTGGCTTTATGATGATGATAATCAATGAAACAAACAAAAAAATATTGAACACTGCACAACAGAAAAAAACATCCATCCGTTTTTGCTAATGTGTCCTGTTTTTTCCCCTTGTTGATTTCCCCTTATACACCCCCTTATGCCGCCACCATCATGATCATCAATATCAGCCAGTATCCATTGACAACCAAACAAAAAACAGCAAGAAAATTGATTTAAAATCAACAATCATATAATGATTATGTAAAATTATTCCGTTTAATTTTTTTTTGCATTAATCACATCATCACATCGACCACAATCAACAAACAAAATGAGCTTGTTTTATATTATTATTCATCGGATGCATCCGATATCCGGTACTTTTATTTTTTCTATTGGAGATGTGTATTTTTGTTGTTGTTTTTATAAATCAAATTATTATTGGATGCCAACAACAAAAACAACAGCAAAATGATAACCTTAAACGAAAGAAGCGAAGTAAATGAAAAAATTGTACATTTTCGTTGTTGATATTTTTTTGCTGTTTGGTGGTAATAATAATGATGTTGATGTTGTTGATAATGATGATGATAATGGCTGAATCGATTTCCGTTTTCCTGTGTGTGTGTGTTTGGTTTCGTTCGTTTTTGATTGATTAATATTGACTGATGTGATTGATGTCTGTTGTTTTAATGTTGATGTTGTTGATTGCAATTTTTTCAAATTTTTTTTTGTACTTTATTCGTCGTTGTCATTATCCATCGTTGATTTTTTTGTTAGTTTAATAATATTGTTGCTGAATAAATTAGATGAACGACTAATACTATATAATCGATTATGATTCTGCAAAAAAAAAATGAAAATCGTCCATCACCATCACTATTTACATAATGGAATTTCATATAGACAATGATGATGATGACAGACAAGTCAATGCTAATTTGTCATCTTCATCCTTTTTAGTTTTTCGTTGACATATTATGTTGATGATGACAAAGAATAATAAGAAGAAAATTCTGATTTGATTCGATCGATGATGAACACTATTATTATTCTATGAATATTCTATGTTCGTGTTTGTAAATGGAGATTTTTTGTTTTGTTTGTGTACCAGAAAATGAAAAAGTTTCATTGGGTGCGGTACCCAAAAGAGAAAAATGAAAAAAGCCAAACTAACACATCACATCATTACATAACTGTCATCATCATCATCATCCTTTTTTCCTATGATGATGATGATCTAGAATTCATTGAACATACAAAATTCTGTATGGTGTTTACATCATGATTGTTGGTTGATGATGATAATAATGATACCTGTCAATAATAATAATAATATTTTGGCAAGGTGACCAGGTGCCGTGATATATTCCTTCTCAAAAATAGAGTAAATGATGATGAAGGAAAAAGAATCCAATCACTGAATAATGGACCTAGATTAATGTCAGGTTAAAACGATAAAAAAAAGAAGAGAAATCGGGTGTGGTATTTGGATATTTCTTTTTTTCCTTGATGATGATGATATTATGATGGCCTTGTTTTTATTCTTGACTCTTTTTTCCATTCAGAATTTTTTTGGTATTCGATTTAAACTAGTATTGAATGTGAACATCGATTTCCTGACTGAAAAATATTAATTATGAAATGATCTAATGATATTTCTGAGATCCAAGATGATGATGGTTGATTATAAGTGTGCCTTTTTTATTTTATCTCAATATACCAGGATAAATCTGATGATGATGATCATTGTTTGATGTTGGTTATATTTTAGTTTAGTTTTTTTAGTTTTGGTTTGTAACTATGAATGACAATAACAAAAAAACTATCGTTGGTTTCCGTTGGAAACGCCATGAATATTGGTTTTTTCCTCTCTCTGTGTATGTAATGGAAATAAAATATCATCTTCTACCATAGAATATATATAGCCAACCCGAGAGCATTACTGTTTTTGATGAAAGATTGAATTTAGTTGAGCTTCTTCTTTAGTTTTTCTTTCTCTCTCTCTCTCTATCCATTAGTTTCCATCAAATTGGGAAAAAAGTGGACATCAATCGTTTCATCAAAAAACGAAATAAAAAAAATATTGCGTGTCCAATTCAATTGCAATAATGATTATCAAAGAATTATCTTTCAAAGAAATAGTAATTGACCAATTGTTTGATGTGTTGATATAATGTTATCCTATTAATTTAATTTGATTTGATGTAATAATAATATTAAATAAATAGATGTTTTTTTAATATAAAAGTCATTTTCTAATCATCTATACCTGAACGGGTCAAATACAAAAATAAAGGTACATTTGACTGACATTTTCAACTACTATTGATATTGATGATGGTAATGATTTTGGTTTTTATCGTTTTACCTGGTCACCATCACCACCACATATGTTCTGGTTGATGTTTTTGTTGTTGTTATCGTTGTCTACCTATTTTTATTAATAGCCATTCCATTCTATTTTGCTCTCGTTTTTTTCGTTTGTCATTCATTGAATTATATTGTTGGTATGTTTCGCAGTGTTGTTGCTGCTGTTACCATTGGTAACCAAAGAAGCAGCATAAAAAACATTTTGAATGAAAAAAATCATCATCGATTGGAGAAATGAAAAAAAAAACCAAACTGAACGACCAAATCATTGAGAAAAAATATCCATCACATCGGTTAAAAAAAATTTATCTGGAATATTTCTGGAAATTTACCTAAAAATATTTCTGGAAATACAGAGTATTATCATTCTTTGATAATAAAAGTAAAACATCCCACTTATTCATTTCCGAACACATCACACACACACACATAAAGGTAATAAAAATTGGCTTGGCAACCACAGAAAAATTCATTTATGTAAGTGAATGAATTGGATTGGATTGGATTCTGTTGGTTTTGATGAATAGAAAAAAACCATAAAAGAATCATGAACTATGCGCACCAGTTATAATTCTGTTGTTGATGAAATGACACAGTAATGATGATGATGAACATTTTGGTTGTTATTGGTTTCCAACCAAAATGTATTGAATTGAATGAAAACAATTTACCTTATGATTTTTTGTTTTTGTGTTTTTCAGTGTAATCATTTAACGATGATGATGATGATTCTTGGTTTTGTAGATGTTTTGATGTTCATTTCATTCAGTGTGTGACATGAATCGGTGATTGACTGTGAAAAAATTGTTCATTTGAAATTTTTTTTTCATCAATGACAAATTCACATCTTTTTTAATACAGTGATGTAATGGTGTGTAATGATTTTTCTTGTTTCTGTTTGATTATTGTCTATTTTGAATATATAGGCACTGTTTTTATTAGATTTTTTTTTGATTAGAATCATTGCCATAAAAGACTTGACATTGTAGCATCTAATTGGGAAAAGATGCGGCCAATCCTCCTCTTTTACTCTTTTATGATGCTATATAGTGATATAATTGATGGATGTGTGTGCGCATCACTCATTGATGTTTTTTCATTCGTTTATTTAAAAAGAAAGAAAGAGAAAGAGATGTGATGCGCACAAAATGTTTATATTGATGATGTGTTGATGGTGGTTGTGGTCACATTTAATAGCTAACATAGTGAAAGAGAAAGAGATAAAAAAATGGGGTCGGGTCTAAATCATCATCAACAGCATCGGGTATTGAAAAAAAACTGATGATGCACACACACAGAAACATCATTTATGTGTGTAGCACATCCAAAGATTTTTTCTGCTAAAATAACTGTCTTAGGATATCTTATCTGTTTGTTTGTGTTGACGAGGGGGTGAATATAGGATTGATTATTATCGGATTTGTACACAAATGATGTAAAGGTGATTTTAAAAATGTTAAAATTTAATTAATTTTTTCTCTTCTTTTCTCAAATACAGACACTTTATTCGTGGAGAATTTTTCATTAACAAATGAAAAATGGACAAATCAACAATGAATAATCAATAGATAAACAAAAACCAATACGAAGAGATAAGAAAAAATTCTAGACAATCATTTATATGTGTTTGCGTAGTTGGGAGTTGGGCAATCATTTTCTTTCTTTTCATTTGACGAAACAAATATACCTCTTTTTTCATTCTTTTTTGGTAAGTAAATTGGAATTTAATTTTAAAACAATTTTTTTCATTGAAAGAAATGGAAAACTTTACATTTTGATATTTTTACACTTTTCTCTCGAAAATGCACCGAATAATATGATTTAATTAATTAAAGTTGCTCTCTTTGCTGTTAGATTGAACTTTAAGCAATTTTTTCCAGATGAGAAAATGAGATTAAGATAAACACACACACACAAATACCTGATCGTCATTTTTCGTTGTTGCGATGTTTGTTTGTGTGAGTAGGTGTCGTAAAAAGTGTAGGTGTTAAGCGATTGGTTTTTTCTTCAAATTTTGGTTTTAATCTTTTCATCTTTCGCGACTGGTCAATTGCGACTATTTGATATTTCAAACATATCATTTGCCCTTTTGGTTCTCATTTGCCTGATCAATTCATTTTTATCATACGAAAAAAATCTATCTGCATTCAATTATTTCTTTCTTGAAGGTTTTTTTAATATTAATTTTTATGAAAGAAAAAAATATTTTCGCAAAATGTTGATTAGAAAAACATTATCATTTGTTTGTTTTCGAACAGAAAATTATTTACCAACCAAAAAAATCATTTAATCAAATGATCATCGATTCTAGAAAAAAAAGATGATATTTTAACATTTTTCTTTTCCCCACCACACTGTCACCATTACAAATTCGTATCCATTGGATACAACCAGAAAAAATATATAAAAAACAATTTCACCATCATCATAGATTTCATCCCTATTTTTTCCATCACATACAAAACATCAGGTTATATAATTTTTGGTAGTTGAGGATTCTCTCATCACCTTGGTACTCTGAAGAATATATAGGACATGATTCTATCCTGTTCTTCTTTAACTTTATTGGAACTTTGTTTTTTTCTCTGTTCTTTGAAACAAAACAGCCATTAATTGACTTTTTTTCATCATGTGTTTCTTCTGATATTTTTCTCCGTGTATGTATGTGATGTGTTGCTTGGTATTCTATAGTCGATCGGCCTTTTTTTGTTGTTGGTTGGTTTGGTTACCGAATCTGTTTTGTATTTTTGTTTTTTAGCTTCTCTGCGTGTGTGATTCTATTTCAATGTTTTTTTTCTGGTTCTTTTGATTGTGTGTTTGTGTTCTGGTTTCTATTCAATGATGATAATAATGATGTCGATTTTGTTGATGTCGTTGATGATGATGATGATGATGATTCGGTTACCTACCAACCAAACCAAACCAGAAAAAAATCAAACCATCTCGGAAACATAGACAACAACAACAAAAAATTTGGAAACCGGCAAAATCAGATATGTAATGGAACTGCAACAACAACAAAGTTGATACACTGTCTCGATATGTATGGAGAATATAATAATTTTTTTACCGCCATTAAATATTTATTTGATTTTTCATCATAACGAATCAATAATAATCATTAGAATCAATTTCGATATAAAGATGCAATACAGTATTTCTTTCTTTCTTGGATTCTTGGATGATTATTGATTTTCTATTGATGTTGTCTCTCTTTTTGTGTTTTGGATTTTTTTTCTCATTTGGTTATTATGGTTACCCATCACAACCACAATTTTTCTCACACACACACTCCAAGAATAAAAGAATCAGAAAAAAAAAGTTATTGAATGTTATTATTGAGAGATAGAAATAGACAATAATGAAAAAGTAAAGTCAATTTGATGGTTGGTACACACTTCACGATTTTGTTTTGTTTTGGTATCTATGATGATGATGATGATGATCATAATTATCATCATTTCGAAATATAAAAAAAACCAACGATTAAATGGCAAACGACATTGATAATATTAATGATAAATTGATGATGATAATATTTTTTACGGTATTCTTGTTTGTTCAACATAACAACGGTTACCAAGATCTATGAATGATAATGATGATATTGATGATGAAAACATTAAACCTTTAACTATATAAAAATGGATGATTTCTGATCAAACAAAAAAAAAGAAACATTGGAATCAATAGATTATTCATATTGATTATCAAACATTTTCATTTGTGGTTGTTGTAGCCATCTCTTCATCAGTTATTTGAATTATTTCTGGATTATCATCGTCGTCCGTTTGAATTGGTTTTGAATAAGCAGCACCATTTGATGATTCTTTAATCATTTTATTACAAAAATGTTGATGATAGAAATTCAAATGATACATCAGACCGCCAACATAGGAAAAGTGTGATTGACATCCTTTTATAAAACATTTTTGTTTTGGAAATTTTGCATTCAATTCTTCATTAGTTATAGTTTTATTTGAACTCTTGAATTGTCTTCTTCGTCTTAGAAGATAGATTGCTCGTTCGAATTCGGCATTGTTCATAAGATGTTCTACTTTTAAAGATGGTTGTGAATTCATTTTGAATTTTAAGACAAAATCAAATTAAGACTGGCAGAAGATTATTGGAATTTCGATTTGAAATTAGAAAAACGAAAAACAGAAAATAGAAAATAGAAAATACAATTTCACCCGACAACAAACAAACAAAATAACATCATCATTAACAAATGAACATCATTCATAGATGATATGACATAATTTTTATCAACCAAAAAAAAGAATCATTGAAAAAATTCACCTTTAAGGCGAATCATTCTTTTTTTCAGTTGTTCTTTATTATTTATTATTTTTATCATTGAAATTGTTTACCATAAAGAGTCACACATGGTTGATTATGGATAAGATGATGATGATGCCAATGTTTGTCGTTGATGATGATGAAAAATGGTAATGATAATATTGCGAGCATCGATCATCATCATCAGGATGATGATCATTGCAAACATCGTCATCATCATTAAGATATGCGAGGGAAAATAAACCTGACCTGATGGATGGATGAAAAATTCGCTCAACCGCATCCTTTTTTTGTTGAAAAATTATAAAGACGGTCAAACCGATTTTCATTATTCAAACTAAGGTTTTTTTTTGATTCAAATGATTCTCATGATGATGATGATTAGTGAATGAGTTTTTTTATTCACATTAAAATTTTCTTTTTCTTCTTGACAATCGTCCAACAACAACAACAACATGACAAAATAATAATCAGATGGAAATTGGGAAAAAAATCCTCTGAGAATACATCGAGAAAAAAATTCATCACACCTGATGTTTCTCTGTGTGTTAATCCAAGCGTGTTACACATTTTAGAGCATCATTTTTAAATTGAAAATATTCGAATCAAAAGTATCGATAGTTGGTTATATCGATTTCAAACAATCGATTCTTTTCTTTTTTCAAATCAAAGTTTGATATTTTTTATTTATCTATTCGACACACTGCCCCAAATTGATGATTAAAAAGAAATTTCAATCAATTTCAAATTCAATTCGCAATCTTTCATCCACAACCATCAATCAATCAGGATTGTTGCTTGATTGGTAGTGATCCCGTTATCAGTTATTTTTTTTGATTTTTTTCTGTTTTGTTCAGCATCAACTGATGATGATAATCAAAAATATAAGCAGAGAGAAATTGATGATTTTTATTTTCTCTACATATTCTTCCATCCTTTGATTACGCCCAATAGTATGGTGGAATGAATAAGTTAAAATAGCTCCAGTTGTTCGCTATTTCTACTCTTTTCATCATCATGATTATTATTATTCGTCATTTGATTAAATAGAGCGAATCTAATCGGTGTTCAGTTCGGTATATGTCCCCATTGTCCGTTAGGACAATTTTATTTCATCGTAGTCGTTGAACATAGAACAAGACAATTGACTGAGTGTCGGTGTTTGTGTTTGGCAAACTTAAAATTCGATGAAAAAAAGTTAAATTTAAGACAACACTTGATGGTTAAAAAAACCATTGTTGACCATTTTATTCGAGTGAAGTTGGTGTTTTTTTGAGCAAGAAAAAATTCTTGACTAATTAATTGACTAATGTTTTTTTTCATTCTTTCCTATCGATTCATTGTTTAACGAGACAGAATTATCAACAGCAAAAAAAATTCTGCCATTTAAATTTCTATAAATAATGAGCTGTAGATTCTTTGAACAGAACCAAAAACAAAGAAATATTCATCAAATATTTGCGTAGGAGATACACACTAAATTAAACAGAATTTTTTGTCTCACTTATTCCAGATAATTCTTCAATGTGTAAAGTTTACAGGCAAAATAAAACAAAAAAAAACATCTTGGAAACAATTTCTTCAAAATGAAAAACAAAAACAAAATTCAACTCTGTCATTTCAAAACTAACTAACTCCATTTTTTTCAGTTATTCGGTCCATAGATTTTCTAGATTAGTCCAAAATGAAACAACAACAACAACAAGAAATTATTAATAATTTTTTTCAATTACATAACGTTTGATTCACTGACCATCGTCATCATCATCGTCGTCATCTACATTTGGTCAGAAAAATATATCAATCGCGTCATTCATTTAGTCAGTCAGTCAGTCATGGTTGGATGTAGATAATAAATATTTGAGCAATAACGCCAACAACAACAACAAGATATCTTATTATCTGTTTTTTTTCTTAAGAAAAAAAAATTTTATGTCAAAAGTATCATATCATTGTCCATTGTTGACTGGATTCAGTGATAATTGGCTTCCCTATTTTTTTCACTTGGATTTTTGAATTTCCCGAAATTTTTTTTTTCGCAAGATAAAATCCAGGTTGACGCTCTGTTGTTAATCAATTCCAAAAAAAAACCTAGTTGAACTAAATGTTTTTCGGTCATAAGAATGATGATGATTGGTTAGCAGTTGTTTGGCTAGTTTGGCTAGATAGATAGATGGATGGCTAGTTGGTTGGTTGGTCAGATCAGATCAAATCACACACATATGGTTGGATGATTTGGTCATTTTGATTTTGAATCTCCACACAAAAATGGATGTGTATCCCGTTATAAATATATACAGTATATATAGTGTTTGGCCATTCCCATTTTTGTTTTCTTCCTCATTTCGTTCGTTTCATCGTGTGAACTGGGCGCAATTATATCCACAAAAAAAATGTCCAATATAATAATGGAAATGGCGCCATTTTGATGTAACGTTACATAGTCAGTCAGTTTTATTATTTGGTTGGTCAAATTTTAATAATAATAATAATATAATGGCAGTACCTGGTGCATTGGGCTACTATGACGAATGATGACGATGATGATGATAATGGTAATGTCAATCTTTTTTTTACTCAATGATGATTATGATGATAATAATCATAATCAACTAAAAGAAACCAATCAAAGAAAAATTATTATTTGACTTCGATTTGCTTTGTTGACCATCCGACCAACCAAACAAACATCCAATCATAATCATCATCATCATTGCTGTAATCAGGTTCCAAGTTTCTTTTTTCTGTCCATCATACACACAGACACCGTTAAAAAATGTTCAAAGTCCAGTTTCTGACTCTTTTTTTTCTGTGTCCATTTTTCTCCAAAAAAACTATTTCCACATTAATATAGCCTATATTATCGAAAGAAAAATTTTACATTCAAAACGATGTAGATCAACCAACAACAAAAATGATGTAGAGAAAAATAGAGACAACAAATAGAAGAAAAGAAAAATGTTGATGTTTATACATGATGATTATGATGATGATAAATTTATGACTCAATGATTCACAACTATCAATGACAAAGAGAGAGAGAGAGAGAAACAAAAATCCAAAGTTTTTATCATTTCTTTATTGGATGATGACGAATCTATCTGACGAAACATACCATTATAAATATTTCATATTCATTCATACGATGTTTTTTCTTTTGTTTTCATTTTCATTTTTCGTTATATTTGAATTGTTCAAACGGAATTTCTCTAATTTAACTTACCATTTTTTTTCTTACTGTTTGTGTTAATATAGTGATATTCAACTATTTCATCATTATCGTCACCAAACATCAATATCAATTATCAATGTTTATGATAATCGTATAATTTAAAAAATTTTAAAAAAATGGCCACGACTGCATTGATGCAACCAGCCGCACCATCTCAATCATCATCATCATCATCGACAATCGATGCAAAACAACAACAGCAACAACAACAATCCTCCTCATCATCCTCATCAACATCTTCATCATCATCGATGATGATTACCAATGGACATCATTCATCCGATTCATCCGATTCGATATCTGATCATGAAACAAATATTAATAATGATAATGATAAACAAAAGGATGAACAACAGTTTAGCTTAAAACGTAAATCTATTGATGATGACGACGATGATGATGATAAAGAGATAGAAATCAATGATGAAAATATTGATAATGAAGAAATTAAACAATCAACAAGGCCAAAATTGAATCATTATCATAGCTCAACTGAAGATGATGATGAAGAGGAAACAACAATTAATGAAAAACAATCAACGGATAAAACTTTGTTATCGATGATGATGATGATGAAAAATAGTCAATCATCGATAGATAATGATGATGATGGTGATAATAATAGTACAAAACCAATAATGAATTCATTATCATCATTAATCAATATGGAAATGTCTATCAAACAACAACAACAATCATCAATAAATTTGACCACCAAACCAAAGAAATTGGCAACCGGAAAATTGGAACGTATTACCGAACGTTTAGCTAAACAACGACAACATTCGAATGGTTTGACATCCGCTTCAATATCGACGGTATGTGTATCGTAAATGTTGAAATAGTCTTTTTTTTAATTTTTTAATTTTTTTTAGCAGATTTCAAATGGTGATAGCTCAATAAAACGATCATCAAGTCCAACAGATGAATCTCTATTATCTAATAAATCAGAATTAGCCAATGAAATTGATGGATCCAACGATGATGTTGATGATAATTTAATGAAATCTTCTTCCATCGATGATGACGATATGGATGAAGATATTGGCGATGAGGAAGATGAGGATGATGATATGGAAAATGGTCTTCAAGCATTAGGCCTAATGGGCAATGTTGCATACATGACTACTGGTGATGATGCTTTTAAATGTCCTGTTTGTGGTTTACAATTAGATTCACAGCATACCTTTACCTTACATATACGTTCACATAATCCAAATGATCATTCCAATACATGTAGTTTATGTGGTAAGACATTAAGTTCGGCAAGTAGTCTTGATCGTCATATGCTGATACATTCGGGTGAACGTCCATTCAAATGCAGTCTTTGTGGTATGGCATTTACAACCAATGGTAATATGCATCGTCATATGCGTACACATGGTCATGGATCGATCGGTTATACACCACGTGGACAAAAACGTCGTGCAAAATTATTGACGCAAGCATTGGAAAAAGCTGTTGCACAAGCAACAGCCGGCGAACAAGTTGATTATGAAGCAATTAATAAGCTTAAAAAATCGATACTCGAATCAAAAGTTACTATACCGACAACAACAACCGGCGGCAAACGACAATCAAAAAATCAACAACAACAATCAGCAGCGACAACATTTTCCGAACAATTATTATCATCATTGGCGCCCAATGTATCGATTGAAGCGGCAGCAGCTGCAGCTGTTGCCGCTGCACATAATGCTGCCGGATCAAAAGATGGTGATAGTATTCTGTCACATTTAAGTGCTGTTGCGGCCGCAACAGCCAATTCACAACATCAAAGCGGTAGTGGTCGTAAACATCGAAATCGAAATAGTCATTTAACGACTACTACTAGTCAAACTGTTTCAACAACACCATTATCATCAATATCAAAATCTAATGATAAAACTAAAGAATCGCCAATCACTACCAACAGTTCTATTTCAAATATGCCATTGAATTTGGCTAATAATAATAATAATAATAATTCAACAATGGTTTCTTGGTCAAAAAATCAACATTCAGCAATGAATCCATCGACGACAACAACAACAACACCCACCAACATACCCGAAAAAGGTCGACCAGGACGTAAGAAAAAACAACGTCTTTCAGATCCTGGATCCATAGTACTGAATGGAATGATGAATCATCCTCATCCATTATCATCATCATCATCAACTCAAGTACAAATTCCACATTCATTACCGACACATCCACAGCCACCACCACCACTACCGACAACTATAGCACCGTTTCAACAATCACCACCATCATCGAATAATCATCATCATTCAATATCATCATTTGGATCGATAAAAGATAGATGTCCAATATGTGCTCATCCAATACGTACTATGCCTGAATTACATTTGCATATGATGGCATATCATATGCATGAAAGATTATTCTGTAATGATTGTGGTATGATTTTAGATAACTATGATACATATACACATCATCATTGCACAGCATCAGCTACAACAGTTATGCAAGCATTAAATCAAAATCCAAATCTACAATCGGATTTATTATTTTGTTCAAGTAATACATCACGTATGAATTTTTCATCCGCACGAACATATGCAGCAAATTTAGAATTATTACGTGCAGGTTTAACTGCCGCAACAAATGGTGTTAGCGGTGGTAACAGTAATCAACATTTACAAGCTGCAGCTGCTGCTCAAGTTATGCTGCAAGCAGCTCAATTAGCACAACAACAACAACAAAATTCTTTACCGCAACAGCCACCACCACCGCCGCAATCATCAACATCGAGAAAATCAAATTCGCAACAACATGCAAAAGTAAATTGTAGCCAATGTAGTCGAAAATTTTTCACAAGTAAAGAATTAAAGCAACATCATGATACATATTGTCATCAATGTCAATTAGAGTGCGATTCAATATCAACCTATCAATTTCATCAATTTTCACATTCATTTGAAAAGCTCAGTCAATCACAATCACAAATGAATGTGGATAATAAAATGCAATTATTAAAAAATGTAGCCGCATCGGCATTTCCTTTTCAATTATCATCGCCAACATCATCCGCATTGGTTACGAATCCATCTGCATCATCGTTGATCTCATCATCCGCTTCAGCATTAATACATAATCATGATCATCATCACCATTCAACAACACCACCACCACCACCACAATTATCAAAACAAACATCCATTCCGACAATATCAAAACATCATTCAACACCATCATCATCATCGATTGCATCGCTCACATCTATGGCCAATATGAAACCGGATTTAGCCGATATTGAATCGATATTATCGATTGTACATGCAACAAATTCTATGAAAAATTCTAATCAACATTCATCATCATCATCAACTGCAGCAGCAGCCAATAATTCCAATGATAATGATAATAATAATAAATTATCAATCAATAATGGTCAACAGCTACGTTCACCAATATCACCGAATCGTGCAAATGATGCTGGTGATTATCATGGTGCAACACAAATGAAACGTCATCAACAAATGAATGGTGGTGAAGCAACAAATCAACCAGATTCACCAGCATCAGCTGATTCAGCTGCTGGTGCTATTGCTGCATCTAATTTACCTGGACAAAATTGTCAAACAACAACAACAATGAACATGGCTGTTGATAATCATCATCATCATCATCGTCATAGTACAAAAACTGATCTCAATCAAACAAATGGTAAGTCGTCACCTTCGGCGACTGCCGCAACAGCAATGGCTTTATGTCTGACCAAATCATCATCAAATAATAATAGCGCAACAATAAATAATATTGCTCATCATAATGACAAATCTATTTTATCATCATCACCACCCAAATCAAAACAATCATCCATCAAAACTGAATCGCAACAAAAATCATCCAAAATCAATGATGGTAGTAAAATTTCCACTACAAATCAAACAAAACCACAACGTTTTCGTTGTGAATCATGTCGTTTATCATTTAAATCGTTGAATGCATTACGACGTCATAATCGTGGTCATACGGCTGAAGGTGGACATTCACATGCTTGTCATTTATGTCCATATAAATCATTGGATAAAAGTACATTGATTAGACATCTGCGTACTCATAATGGTGAACGACCATTTCAATGCGCTATTTGTAAATATGCATTTACAACAAAGGCAAATTGTGAACGCCATATACGTAAACGGCATCGAAATTTAAAATCAAAATCCGAAATTCGTAATGCAATGCAATATAATATTGATATGGCATCAACGGCAGCAGCAACCCGTTTAGTTAGTGAAAAAATATTCATTGAACGTGATCAATTACCAACATCACAGGATACCGTTTGTAAAAAATGTGATGAAGATTTTGGTACTAATCGTGAATTACGACAACATCTGAGGCAACCGAATAATCCTTGTTCACAACAATTGAAACCATTTGTATGTACAATATGTTCGATTGGTTTTAATACACGTAATAACTGTGTTCGTCATATTATTAAACAACATCCGACTATCGTTGAAATTGGTAATAATAATAATAATGATGATGATGCTAAAATTATCGATGCTGAATCATTGATGATTGAAACGGGTTCTAGTTCTAGTTTAAGTCCATCATCACAACCAAAACGACAATCAACAAAATTATCATCAAAACGAAATGATAAAAATCATAGACATCGCCATAGATCATCATTTTCATCAACATTATCATCAGGTGCTGAATCATCCGAATGTGAAGGATTAACATCATCATTTGATGATGGTCGACGCCATAATCAACAACATAATGGCCATAATTCAAATAAACATAATGATAAACAACAACCACCATCACCATTGAATTTATCGAAAAAATCATCGTCCGAAGATGATGATGATGATTCTTTTCCAATCGAACCGATTGAAGAAGATGATGATGATATTTATGATGATGATGATCTAGATGACGACGATGATGATATTGGTGAATTTGACGAGGATTTAGATGATGGTATTGATGACGATGACGATGATGATGATGAAGGTGTACCAATCGAAGACGATGATGATGATTATGATGATATTTCTTCAAATACTAATCAACAAATTGGATCTGCTGCTGTTTTAGATCTTAGTTTTAAAACAAAATAATCAAATCATCATAGAATTTAAATGTTGAAAAGCAGCCTACACACACATACACACAGTTCAAGTTTTTAATTTTAATTTAAAATTCTGACTTATCCAGAAAAAAATTTAATTTAATTTAGTGATTTTTATTCTTTATCATTATTATAACCATCAAAATGTTTGAAAAAACGATTCTTTCATTCCATAACTATTCTTTCTCTGGTTAACCACTATTTACATCCTCACACACACATGCAGATTGTTTACACTTGAATATTCTCTGAAAAGTGGATAAAATTGTATTAAATAATAATTATTATTATGTATTACACAAACACTTAAAAACCCGACTCTATTATCGATTTAATTCGCGATTCAATGCGTTCACAATGATTGCCTTGATTCTTTGCTTTACTTTTTTTTTGTTCTTATTATTGACATTTTTTAAAATGAAAATCATTCATTTATGATTGAAAAAACTTTTTTTTGTAGAATTTTTTTTTCGGGCAGAATCTTTTTTCGTTCTCAACATTCATTCATTATTCACCATCAATCAAATCAAAACAATCAACTCTAATCAATCAATCAAAAAAGAAACACGACCAAATATGATATCAATATTGATTAATTAACTTTTTTTTCTTCTTTTTATTCTGTTTGTTCTCGATTGAATTTAAAATTTTCAAAATTGATTAACTAATAATTTGTCATTATTCTTATCATTATTATCATTATCATTATTCTTATTAAAATTGATTAATTATTTCTTTTGAGAAATTTGAGAATTTTTCATTTTTTGCTCTTGCTGTTGTTTTTCATTTTTCCAATGATGTTCCAAATAATTTAACATTCGAATTGAACTTGTCCATCTGGCTAAACGTTCCAATTCATCAATCAATTCGACGGATAATGATTGTTGTTGATGTTGTAATCGACCTGTATAAGCAAACTCAATCAATTTTTCGATAACATCACATGAAAATGGTAAATATAATCGTTTTAAATGATTATCATTATCATCATCCGATTCAACATGATTGAATAGAATTGCCTTATGGAAATATGGACTCATTATATACAATGGAAATGAATGTATCAAATGTTGTTGTTGTTGATGATCGTGGTTTGAATTATCTTTGCAAATTATTAATAAATCTTTTGGCACCGATGGAATTTCTCTACTAAATTCGATAACATTTTTTGGATTTTTTCGTTTCGTTTTTGCATTTGCATTCGAATTCAGATTCGCTTTGGATTTTTCCATTTTTTTTGTTGTAGTTCGTTTTTTCGATTTTGTTTTCATCGTTTTTTTAAATGGAAAAAATAAATTGGAAAAAAATTCAATTAAGTCAAGTTTTGTTTAAAAAAAAATTTAATTCAAACATTGCTGCCATCTTTTGGTGTGATGTAAAAGCAAAATATTGGAATAAAATAAAAATATATTCATTTTCCACGATAACTGGATTTATTACGACTTTTCATCTGTGTTGATGGATAATTTGAACCGGTAGTACTTCTATCGTATGAATTTGTTCCATAATCATCATCATTATTATTGACACGTCCATTACCGTAATTGTTGTTATTGTAACCACCAACACCTCTTCGATTACCATAAGAATTATCATTGGGATAATAATTATTATCAAAATTGCCATTGTAAATTCCATTCGATGGATACATTCCGTTTCCATTTCCATATCCATATCCGAAACTGTTAGTATTCGGATAACCACCATTCGGATAAATCGGTAAAAATCGTCTCATTCCAGTTGCCCATGGATAATAACCGCCGATACCATTACGTATTTGTGGATAATAACCGCCCGGATAAGGTGTATAACTATTATATGGCTGTTGTCTTGTTAGATAAGTATTGGCTGCAAGTAACGGCATAACCGATGCTAATGGTACACGAGCACCTAATGTCATCAATGTTTGTAGATGAACAAAAGCAATATAAAAATTTAGATAAAAAAGTTGACAGAAAATGATGATAATAAGCTTCATTTTTGGTAATGTTTTCAAAAATCAAATAATTTTCACATAATGATCATCAATATCGAAAAAAATATTCCAATAAGAATTTGAATCTATTTATATAGATGGATTGTTTGACCATTGCAGGTGAAATATTTTTGTTTCTGTCAACAACAACAATATTTACGTTATGGTTAAAACATCAACAACAACAATACTAATATTAATGATATTTACATTCGATACCAGGTGTGATACATAGTACATTGACAATGATCACCATAAAGAATTATATTCTGATAATAATAAAACAATGGAAATTTGTCAACACGAAAATAGGAGGGAAAACATAAAATTTATCGAAAAATAAACAAATAACAAAATTGCTTTTGATTGATTATCATTTCGCATTTTTTTTCTTCGACACAAACAAACAAAAAATGTTCGTCGAGTCGTCCATCACTATCGATTGATCATCATCCTCATCATCATTACGACCAACCTTTAATTTCCGGGGCCATTCAACCAATCTTTTCGGATGAAATAGATTTTGAAACTAAAAGGGGTTTTTACCCGGATATGTTTGGTATTTTTTTCGGAATTTGAAAAAAAATTATTACATTTCTAACGAATAACTTTCACATCAACAATCAACAGGGGAAAAAGAAAAAATTCACAAGAAAAACAATCCATTGTGTCCATTCAATTGTCATTTTTATTTTTTTTAATGTATTTTTTTTCTTTTTCTGTCAAAAAAATTGAAAATATTTATTTCATAAATATGATGTGTGTTTGGATGTGATAAATCAAAAAAAAATCATTATTGTGTGTTGTGATATGAATTGTGTTTTCTTGGTGATCGTTTGTTGTCATAATAAAGTCAGTAAAGTGAATGAATAATGATGATGTTTATTGTGTTGTGATGGTTGTTGTTGTACTCGATTGTCCTTGGAGATGTTTGGGTGCAAACTTTTGAAATTATGAAACAATTTCATTTCTGTTGTTGTCACTTTTTTCAATTGTTTATGTTTTTCTTATGTGTGTGTTTGTGTTAACGGTTACATCATCATACGGTTTTTTTTGTTTGTTTGATTCAACTTTTAACAGGCACATTTACAAGCGCATTCTTTTTTCGGCAATTCAGCTTGACGTTTATTTCGATTAAGACTATTGATTGGTGATGGTGGTCCATTATTTTTTATTGATTTTACTAAATCTTTACCATCATCTTTATCATTATTATCATTATCATTGATTTTATTCATTGGACGACCACTAATAATAATCAATTGACGTAATGGTTTTGGTTGTGGTTCGGATTGATGGTCATCATTATCATCAGACATTGATGGTCTTAAAATTGGATTTCCTTCTTTGGATAATTTTTGATCATCATCACCATTATGACATGAAAATATTAATTTTTCACCAGTTAAATGTACTAAACGAGGATCGGTTGTAATATTACCAAATGGTGTCATTAACTGTAGGAAAAAAATAGAGAAAATTGGAAAATAATGAGAATGTAATGAGAGAAAAGGAAAAAAAGTTTTAATTATTCAATCGATCCAATGATAAGGATCATTGATCACAACTCAACTAAACTAATGAATGATTGATTGATTGATGAATCAGACAAAGACAAAAGCATAGCCTAATGAAATGTTTTTTTGTTGTTGTTGATTAACAACTTTCAATCAAGGAGGAAATTTTGCTTTTTGATTTTCACATTCTATCATATCACTACATTGTCATCAACAATCTACCTGACAGTATTTTTCATCTGTTTTTATCCTTGTCATCATCATCATCAGTCGGATAGGATTTTGGAAAAGCAATAACACTATTCAGAGATCCGGTTTCTCTTGATTGACGACAAATTCATAAACAACGTACAATTTTGAAATAGTTATGGTTCAATAATTTTGTCGTTGGCTTTTGTTTTAAATTAAAATAATTCATTAAAGATTTTTTTCTTTTGTCTTCTAACCATGGTCATCAAAAGATTTATTTTACTTCACCACTTACCTTTTTCGGTTCTGATGCAATTATCTGATTAGCTGTTTTACGTTCAATCACACAATTTACATGACCTTTTTCATCGTCGCCCATTGCATTCATCATTTCCTATATATGCGAAAAAATGTAGATTTTTGTTTGAATTTTCAAAATAAAATCTACTTACACCTGCACGTGCACTCATTCTTAAACTAAGTGGAAATTGACGTCGTCCACCAGCGGCATATTCATCATCCGATTCAGATGTAGCCATCATTGGTTCAAAATATGGACCACCAACATTATTTGATTCTGCTGTTGTAAATTCTTGACATCGCAATGATGATTTGGATTGAATATAAACCGAAACCAATATAAATGATCCAATTATAACAGTCATAAATAACATTGTTCGTGCAATTAATCGTGCAATTATCATTGCTGTTGGTTCATATTGTCGCTAATTTTTTTCCAACGGGAAAAATACACGGTAAATTCAGGTCTTCAAATTGAATTAAATACACTCAATAGAGATACATACCGATATACCGCCAATCAATTCGGTACCACTCATACTACCTGTTTCCATTTCATTTCCACTTGTTGTTACTGTTGATACACCCATCAATTTGGATTCCATTCTAGCAATACCGTTACTTATTGAATTGGATAATTTCATTTCAAAGATAGAAAAATTTTATTAGCACAGTTCAAATTGAACAAAATTCACAGAAAAACAGTTTAAATAGTCGATACACACAATACTTGATGTCAATGATGACTTTATTGAAATTGAAATCAGAAAAAAATAAAATATCAAACCTTATACCAAGTTGAAATGAATTTTTTTTCACCGACAATTTTGATTTGATATTTTTTCCAAACAAAAAGAGAATTTTCCAATGTTTTTTTCACTTTTCTCATTCAGGCCATTTTTTGAATGTCTAAATTCAAAATGAAAGTTTCCAAGAAATAGAGAGAAAAAAGAGAATTTCTCACCCAATTAATTGTTTTGTTTTTTTACTTTCTTTTGTTTTTCATGCAGAGGACAACAAATGAAACCGAAAGCCAATGAAAAAATTAAACGAAACAAAAATAAAGAGTTGGTTTACTGATCCAGGCAACAGAGTAAGAAAAATCTAAATCATAATCATTTCATTTGGTGCGAATCAAATCATATATATCATTCAAATAAGAAATATTGGATAAGATGGCCTTGTAAATGTATAATAATAGCTTACATTATTATCATTTTAAATAAACCTTTTTTTTCTTCTTAAATTAATATAAAAAAATACTAAGATATCGAGGCCAAATGTGAGAGAAAAATAAAATGAAATGAATTGGACAAATCAATCATCAATGGTGGAAAGAAAAAGTTAGGTGAAATATATATTTACATTCGAAGAAAAAGAAAAATTTCTTAAGAAAGAAAAAATAAATGAATATTACGTGCCGGAAATACACGTGATAGCTCAAGCGTAACACTACTTATTTTATTTTCGTTTCGTTTCGTTCGTTAGTAAGGAGAGAGATAAGAAAAACGCTTACATAGATTATTATTGTTGCCCAGCAGTTAGCGACAAAATAAAAAAAAAAGTATATCAAAATATTCAGATTACAAGGACAATTTCTTAATCGATTTTGATTATTGTGGTCAAAATTTGTTTGGGTCAAGATTATTTAGTTTTTTTAGGTTTGAAAAGCAAGCAAAGCAGAAAAAATTGATTTCATCATCATCAAGCGAACGAACGAACTAAATTTAGAAGATTATTATGAATTAGGTTATGTAGAATGGATCATAATGATGATTATGATGACTAGGTCTATTTTTGAAAAATCAAATCATGTAATGATGATGATTACATTTTCAATTGTTGTTGTTGTCGTGTGTTTGACAAGATTTCATTGGGATAGATTTCATTTTATCAAGCAAAAATGTATCTAAAATTAGTTTGTTTGATAATAATTGTTTCATCAAAATTATCATTAGTTTTGGGACAAAATTGGCTAATAGAATATCTATTACCAAAAGATTATGATCCTGATATACCACCAATAATTGATGGTGAATGTTATGTTAATTCAACTATTCGTATACATACATTTCGTATTGTTGATGAACAAGAAGTAAATTACTGAATTGATTTTTGATCCTATTTTTTAATCTAATTGATTTTTTCTAATTCATTTTTCATGAAGAGTATTCGTGCCGATCTTGATTTATGTCTTAAATGGCAAGATTATCGTCTACAACCGGTTGATATAAATAGTGATATGAATGTATCCCGATGGACCGTAAATCGTTTTGGTGGTCATTATGATAAAATTAAATTGACCGAAGTAGATCGTTTATGGTCACCGGGTGTTTATTTTCGTAATTCCAAATCAACACAAATAACACAAGCATTATTACCATTACAATATATGGAAATATGGCCCGATAGTAAAACTGTTCATATGTGCATCCGATTTCGTGTTTATACTGAATGTTTATTGGAATTAAGTAATTTTCCATTCGATTCGAATCATTGTTATTTTGAATTGGAAAATTGTAAGTGTATTTTGGTTGAAGAATTTTTGATATTAACATTTTTCATATTTCACAGTGGAACGTTTACGATTACATATGGAATGGATACAAACACCGGATGGTAATTCACAGGTTCGTGTTATGCACCGGTTTACTGGTTATTGTCAACCAATTGGTTTCAATACATTTCATCCGTTGCCAAAACATGCACATTTTCATCATTTAAATGAAGATCATCGTAAATCATTAGAAGAATCGAATGTATTCAATAATCAATCATGTGTTTATGGTGCAATGAAAATTGTTCGTCATATTAATTATTATATTATCCGCTATTATACAGGTACATTTCTTTGTATGTGTATCTGTTGTATTGGGCCATGGATTACCATTCTTGCCTACCCGGGTCGTACAATTTTATCGGCAACTGTATTATATGCTGTTATACGTGTTAGTCATACTGGTTATGATGAAGTACCGGCACGTGATGTTGTATCATTTTATTGGTGGTTTTGGTGTGTACAATTTTTTATCTATTTTTGTATAATGGAATATGCCCTGGCAATTGCTTGGTTTTATTTTGCACGTGAAAAAACTGAATTTCATAAACGTGGTTTGGATACACCTGACGGGCATTATTTTGGTAAAAATGGTTGGTATCGTTATGGTGGTCATTTAATGGATCGTTTTTTACATTGGGTATATGGTCCTATTGATTTTATGGCCAGTCCTATGCATCGTAATAAAGTAGATTATTTTGCCCGAATTTTTCTACCCAGTTTAATGATATTATGGGTAATGGTTTATCTAATTGCAACCGTATCACCTTGGGCAACTAAATATCGTTATTATTAAACGAAACAAAAAATTTGTACTAAATTTTTAAAAATATGAAATTTAAATTAAAATTTGAAAATATCATCATAATGATTTGCCTAAAATTATTTTAAAAATTCATTTTTCATCAAGGTCAAATAAAAAATGATATATATAAAAAACGACATAGATTTTCTGAATTATTCTAGTTTTTGAATTTTGAATTTGAAATAAAAACTTTGAACTAACCACGATGAATTATTGCCAAATATCAATTTTATCCATAATATTTGTAATAATTCAATTTTTCAATCAAATAAATGGTCAAAATTGGTTAATCAATGATATACTACCCGATGATTATGATCCAAATGTAGCACCATTAATTGATGGTTCAGTTACGATAAATGTATCGATGCGTGTTAATCAATTTGATGCCGGTGATAATCAATTGGTAATTATTGATTTTTGATTTTGCTTTAAACCATATATAATGTATTCAAAAGACATTAGAAACCGATCTAACAATGTGTCTGAAATGGTATGATCCAAGAATTCTGGATTTTAATCTAACCAGTGTTTCGGATATGATTCCCGATAAAGAATTAAAAAGTAATATCATCGTTTTAACCGATTATAATGGCCGTATATGGCTGCCACAAATATATTTTCGTAATGCAATCACTACACAAATTGTAAATAGTTTTCAAATTGTTGAAGTTTATTCACATGATAAAATATTTAATTGGTGTTCACGTATCGATATATCATTTATATGTCGATTTATTCTATCAAATTTTCCATTCGATGAACATTATTGTTATTTTAAATTACAAACACGTAAGTAAATTTGATTTTTTTCAATATTAAAAAAAAATTCCATCATTTTTTTCAGTTGGAACATCAATACCATATGTACGATTACAATTATTAAAACCAATTGAATCACCTGGTCATAATAATCAATTTGTTGTACGTGAAAGTTTACTGGGTGAATGTAATCCTGAAAAAGAAGCCTTAAATCATTTTGATACAATATATCATAACCTAGTGAATCGTTGGAATGATGATAGCTGTATTTATGCTGGATTACGTATTGTTCGTCATGTTAATTATTATATTATCCGATATTATTTGCTAAGTTTTTTATTAGTTTGTATTGGTTTTATTGAATTTTGGTACCCGGTTGCACCTTATTCTGCTAATGGCCGAATGGTATTGACTGTCATCTGTTTGGTCAATATAATTGGTCTTAGCCGAGAATGTTATAGTGAAGTACCTTGTAAAGATGTTGCATCATTATATTGGTGGATGTGGGGTTGTCAATTTTTTGTCTATATGTGCCTGGTTGAATTTGCTTTTGCCTATTGTTGGTTTCATTATATAGCTGATAAAAAAAATGCCCGTGCAAAAGGCATTGAAAGTCCGGATGGTTATTATTTTGGTAAAGGTGGCTTTTATCGTCGTTGTGGTCAAGTAATGACCAATTTCCTGCGTATGGTATATGGTAATATACCATTTCATGAAGATGAAGTTAATCGAAATAAAGTTGATTATACAGCTCGGGTTGTTTTTCCAGCAACATTGATATTTTTTACATTAATCTATATTGTTGCTACAATTCCAGCATGGGTGGCTAAATATTGAAAAACAAAACAAAAAATTTGTCCTATATTCATTTTTCTGTTTTTAAATTGATGACTTGTAAAAATTCATTTTGAAATAATTTAAATAAACACATTTAACATGGATCTTTTTAAACAAATTAAATTCAAACATTAACATCAACATGATGATGATGAATATTTCGATTGTATTATTTACATTATTTTCACTAATAATTCCGATGGTAAAATCACAGAATTGGATACTGGATTATTTATTACCACCGGATTATAATCGTGATGTAATGCCAATCAATAATGCTGATCAAAAATCTTTGCAAGTTAATGTTACACTTTATATTAATCTTTTTCGTGGAACTGATAATGAATTGGTAAATTTTTTTATTCGACTATTTCCACCTTATGGTTGTAAACTATTAACCCGTTTTTAAATATTTTCACACAGCATATCGATGCGGATCTATATCTTTGCCTAAAATGGTATGATTATCGATTATTAACGTTGCCGGAAGAAATTATACCACCACCAATAAATACAAGTGAACCAAGGAAAACATATGGAAAAATTCAGATTACCGATTATGAACGATTATGGATACCAAAAGTTTATTTTCGTAATGGTGTTCAATCCAATGTGATCAATAGTCTTCGTGATTTACAATATGTTAGTATTTATCCGGAAAAACATCGTCTCAAATATTGTCAACGATCATCAACATTATTTATGTGTCATTTTATTACATCGAATTTGCCGTTTGATGAACAAAATTGCTATTTTGAAATTGAAAGTCGTAAGTTCAACAAAAATCAAAAAATTGATCTTTTCATTGAATAATCCAATCAAAAATAGTTGACATTTGGAATGATAATGTTACATTAAATATAACAAAATTTCGTATGCCCGATGGTAATGAACAATTTCGTGTTCGTGAACAAGTAACCGATTATTGTCAACCAAAAATACAAGATCCATTTAATCCAAATCTTGGCTATAATCTTACACAAAATTCCTGTGTATTTGCCCGTGTACAATTAGTTCGTCATGTTGGTTATTATATAATGCGTTATTATACACCAACAGCATTATTAGTGTTGATGAATTTTGTTCAATTTTGGACACCAACCGTATGCGCACCAGGTCGTGCTATATTTACCGGTGTTATCGAAATGACAATGAAAAGTGTTAGTATAACTGCATATGGTGAAACATCATCCAGGCATGTAACATCATTATTTTGGTGGCAATGGGGTTGTCAATTTTTTATATTTGTTTCGGAAATTGAATATGCAATGATATTTGGTTGGGCACATTTTGTTGTTGATAAACATCATGCACGGAAAAATAATTATGTACGTCTTAATAGGAATTCCAATGTTATTTTCATTTTCATTTTTGTTTTTTTGCTTCAAAACAGACAAGTCCGGATGGTTATTATTTTGGCAAAAATAATTGGTATAAAAAATGTGGTGCAGCAATAACAAAATGTTTACATTTTATATTCGGCCCGATTGATTTTTTTGCCGATCCAGTTAATCGTAATAAAGTGGATTATTTTGCACGCGTTCTATTTCCGGCTACATTTTTCTTCTATATTTGTTTGTATGTTGTTGCCAGTTTTCCACCGTGGGCATGGAAATATCGTATGCATTAAGTTGTTCAAAAAGGATGAAAATTGACCTCTTCTTCATTGAAATTCATCATTATCATTATTGATATGGAAATTAATTAATTAATATGCATTTGGAATGAAATGAATTGAATAAATTTTTTCAATAAAAAAATTGTCATCACTTTCAAATAAAAAATTTCACTTTTTGTTCAAATTATTCAATCATTGTCTATTTGCACACAATGATGATGATAAAGTGCTGTCTAAATTGTCGAACGTTTTTGTTGTTGTTAATTTGTTTGCAATTTGTATCATTCATCAATGCCGATAATAATGATAATTCAGGTGATGATGATGATGATAAATTACAACCAATAACGATGCCATCGGTACCACCTGTTTATATTCGTGGACCATCATTAGATCAATATATTAATACAATATTACCAATCGATTATGATCGTCAAAAACGGCCATTAAATCCATATACAATCGATAGTGAGTATCGAATTTAAAAATATTTGATGAACGGTATTAATAAATTGATTACTTTGAATGCAGCAATAACCAATGTATCAATATCATTATTTGTTAATGAATTAAGAGGTGTTGGTGATGTACAACAAAACTATGAAATTGATGTTACACTTACACTTGAATGGTATGAACCAAGGATACTTGCCGATCAAATTGATCGTCAACTAACAATTAACGATGAATTTCTTATTCAAAAATTCTGGCTACCCGATTTATTCATTGTAAATGCACAATCAATATCGATAATTCATTCGGTAAATCCTATACAAAAATTAATTATTACCGAACGTGGACAAATATATTATGTACGACGATTAGATGCACAGCTACAATGTTCAATTAATTTGGAAAAATATCCACATGATCATAATTATTGTGATATACGTTTTTCTACCAGTAAGTTTTGTTAATTTTTTTACTGCTTTCAATTCATTCATTCATTTTGACCATCAGTATTACATAATACCAGCGAAATATTTATTTGGATAAAAGATTTTAATGTTTATCAGGATGAATATCCACATTTTCGTGTACGTGAATGGTATACATGGGATTCATGTGCATCATATAATTATCCAATACAGGAAAATCCATGCATTGTTGGAACAATAAAATTTGTTCGTCATCTTAGTTATTATGTAATACGTTATTATTTATTGGATTTTCTTGCTGTTTGGGTTAGTTTTTTAAGTTTTTGGATTCCGGTTAATATGTGGCCAGCAAGAATTGCTCTAACAGTTGTACCATTATTGAATCTAATTACACAAGATATATCGGTAAATAATGAAATACAATGTAATTATGTAACATCATTCCATTGGTGGATGATGTGGATACAGGGTATTGTTTGGGCCGATATAGCTGAATATGCAACAGCAATGGCATGGTCACATTTTATTGCTGATAAAAAAAATCATCATAAAAAATGGAAAGAACAACAGGATCAGATTGCAGCCGGTAACATTGCCACAATAACCAATCCATTAAAACCATATGTTGATGGTTATTATTTTGGTAATGATGGTTGGTATAAAAAATGTGGTGAATTTTTTGATAAAATGTTATTCTATTTTTATGGTGAAGTTGATTATCAACGTGATCCATATGTTCGTAATAAGATTGATTATTTAGCAAGAATTTTTTTCCCATTTTTATTTACAATGTTTTGTATGATTTATTCATTAGCAACAGCCGCACCATGGGCTGGCAATTATGACTAGACAGAAAAAAATGCTTTTTAATTTTTTTTTAATTCAAATTTTGTTTTGCATAAATCAAATAAAATGATTGAAAATTTTTTGAGGTTTCAACATCATTTAGTGTTTCAGTCATTTGATTGTCAACGACAAAGATGACACGAAATTGTTCACTATTTTCGACGACCATCATTGGGATTATAATTGTTTTTTACAATTTCAACAATATCGATTGTTATGATACTAGTTTGGATTTTAATCTTGAATCATTAATACCTGATGATTATAATCCAAATGTACGGCCATTAAATCCTTATGGTCAAAATAGTAAGCATATGATGATAATTTTTTTTTTTAAACTAATAATATTCATTTCAAACTAACATAGCAACAACAAATATATCATTATCATTATATATGAATTTATTGAAAAATGTCGATAATGTTGATCAACATTTAGAAATGGATTTAATTATCATACAAGAATGGTATGATACAAGAATAAATCTGGATCTAATCGATGATCAGGTTATAATATCTGAATCGTCAAAAATTCGTATGTTTTGGCTACCGGATACATATATAATAAATGCATTAAATGCTCGAGTTGTTGATTCATTAATACCGGCACAAAAATTAATTATCAATTCACAAGGTCTAATGTATTTTGCCATAAGAGTAATGGCAAGAGTTAAATGTTCATTGAATTTACAATTATATCCAATGGATTATCAATATTGCCATATAAGATTTTCATCAAGTAAGTTTTTTTCAAAAAAAAGTTATTAATGACAACGATGACACAAGATGGCAGCAACAACTTAAAAATTTAAAAATTTTTTGTTTTAATTTTCTTTTACCATTATTATCATTATGAAAACAGTTCTTTATAATCGTGAACAATTAATGTTAACATGGAAATTATTCGATATACATAAAGATGAATATCCTGAATTCAAAATACGTCTTTGGTTTCAATATGAAATATGTCGGCCATGGCAAAATCCAATCCGACAGAATACATGTATTGTTGCAACAATGAAACTTGTACGAAATCTTAATTATTATATCATTAGATATTATCTTCTTACGTTTCTGACTGTTGTTATAAGTTTCGTTGGATTTTGGTGTCAATTGAATGGTTGGCCTGCACGTGTTACTGTCATGATTATACCATTAATGGATCTGATTACTGAAGATATTGATGATAATAATGATATTCAAGTTAATTATGTAACAGCATTTCATTGGTGGATGATGTGGATACAAGGCTTTGTTTATCTAGTTGTTGTTGAATATGCTGTTGCTATTGCATGGGCACATTTTATTGTGGATAAAAAAAATCATCGAAAAAAATTACAAGAATATCTGGCTGCACAATCCCAAGGTATAGCATGGATTGGACCACCACCACCACCAGTATTACTTGGTTATTATTGTGGAAATAATGGCTGGTATGCACGAGCTGGCCGATTTGTTGATCGTATGATTTATTTTTTTGTTGGTGAAGCTGATCTTCAACGTGATCCTTATGTACGAAATAAAATCGATTATGCATCCAGAATTCTTTTTCCATTAATATTCTTATTGTTTGTATTGATCTATATTCTGGCTACCGTAGCTCCATGGGCAGCTAATTATAATTGATAAAAAATCAATCGTTTTACAATCAACGAAAAGAATTTTAAAAAAAATTATTTCATTGATAATCATGAAAATAATTTTTCAACATTTGTTGTTGATCGATTGAATTGAATAGATTATTTTTTGAACTATTTGTAAATAAAGCTGTTTGCATATTCCAATCTTGATTATAATCATTGTTATTAAAATATCTTGGTAACGAATGATGTCGATGATGATGATGATTGAAAGAAGCGGGAAGATGATTGTTACCATTATTAAATAATAAATCCTGATTATGATCAAGTTGATGTTCATCAGTCTGATAGGAAGATGATCCGTTATTATTTAGCCATAATTCACATTCACTGATTGATCGTTGATGTTCAATGTTTGTTGACGACAGCGGGCTACTTTTAACAAAAATATGTAAAATAAAATATTAAAAAAAGACAAAACTATAAAGAGACAAATTTCATAGAAAAAAATAAGGGTCAACAAAAAAAATGTGAATAGGAAATAAACTAACTTGGAACAACAACAATCTTCTTTGTTATCAATGATCGGAATGCTGTTTATTCTTTGCATTGGATTCTGATAAGAATTATTAGTATAATGGCCAACATCACCATCATTATTGTCAACGTTGTTGTCGTTATTATTATTGTCGGTGTCAACAATAATATTATCATTATTATTCGAATGATTTATTATCGGACGAATACCATCGACCGAATCATTGTTATGATGATGATGATGATTGTCGTTAAAGGAATGAGAATCATCCGATGCTCCCGCCATCCTCATCCTCATCATATGGGAATCATGTTGATGATGGGAATGTAAAGTGTTTGCTTTCCTATATATATGGCTTGACAATTCATTGGATTTTTTTCCATCTTGTTCGGTTTTTGTCACAATGGAAGCCATTTCATTCATATTTTTATCATCATTATTTGATTGTATAGCATTTGAAATCTGTATAATGCCCTCATCATGATGATTGTCATTATGATTATGATGATTGTTATCATCACTGTAACTATTATGCACTAGTACGATTGCTGTTTTTGTTGGTGATGTTCCGCGATCCAATGATTCAATTGGCCGTGTGACAGTCATTGTTGACGTAGAAGTTGCTGTTGTCATTGCCGCTGAATCCGACTCATCTTGATTCAACAATATTACTTGTTCTATAGAAAAAAAATCAATGCGATAATTGTTTATGTTGACTAGATTTGATTATAAACATACCTTCTAAATTATTGAATTTATCATTATGAATCGTAACGATTGAATGATGATTATGATCAGTGATAAATGTTAAATTGTTTTCATTCAATTTTGGTGATGATGATGAGGGAGAAGATGAAGAGGAATTGGAATTGGAAACGGATGAATTATTCTCATGGAATATTCTTTTTTTATTTATTGTTTGTTGTTGTTGTTGGTTCACTGATTTTGGTGAACGAATATTATTGAATTTTGTTGATGCTTTTGTTGTTGTGGCTGATGCTGCTTCAGCTGCTGCTGTTGTCGAGATGAATTGTCGTTTTTTCAATATACCCATTGGACGGATGTTTGGTGCTTGAAAATTGAATAATACACGCCATGAATACCATGGTAATTGTTGTCGTTGTTGCATGATTGAATTAAAACCAACTGGTAAATTGTTTTCATTTTTATTATTGAATGGTGAACCAATAAATTGTGTAGAGGAAAACATTTCCGCTTCTAACAATGAACTTGGCAATAAACAATTATTACCATTTGTTTCGGGTAATATTAAGCTCATTATACTTGATATAAATAATAATAATGTACTAAGTAAATAATGCCATGGATATTTTATCATTAACGTTTTTGATTCATCATCATTGGTTGAATTGAATTTTATATTTTGTGAAAAAATTTGTGCAAATTTTGTTGTTGTTGTCGTGGATATGTTCAATGATATTCGTGAATATTTTGATGTATAATACATTATAACAGGAAGTAGAATTAAAAATAAATGACCAAATGCCCAACATATACGAAATGCAGGACGACATTGATCATTTGGTGATAGAAGCTCATATGACCAAATAATAAGAACAATAAAAGCACTTGATTGAAATAATTTCATCAGGCCAAAACTGATTAATGAATAATCAAAGTATTCATTCCAATCGAATAGAATCATTATTTCATCGATTGAATTCATAAGACTAATGGAAGACATTGAAAAACCGGTCATCAACGTTGATAATGTTGCCAATAATGAACAGATAAGAAATGTAAATTTTCGTCCAAATCTATCCATCAGGAAAATATAAGTGATCATAATGGCCAATATATTGATGATTATACCAAAAGTGAATAGAAAATACAAACGATAATCACCGTTGTTGATGCTGTTGGTGTTGAATAATTTTTGCATTAATAATATCGATGATGATGATGATGATGGATTTGCACGAATAAAATCGATTAGAAAAAAATTCAAACCAATATTCAATGTAAAATTAATCCATGATAAAAATAATATGATTATAAATTTTCTTCGCATATTTGGTAGTTGAAAAATTGAGCGTAATGTTGTATCGGTTGTTGTTTTGTTGATATTCAAATTAGATGTTTGTTGGTCACAAATTTCATCAATCGATTGTGACGATTTTGACATGAAAATTTGATTGGATTCAATCATAGGATTGCGATAATTTTGATGATGATTGTTGATTGATAATTTTAATGATTCATCTAATTGACAATCGGCTAACAATGATGAAATCATAAATTCACGATAAATAGCTAATTCGATATGTATTCGTCGCTTTGCGAAAAAAAGTAAGTGCCAAAAATTGTTTATCAATGGAATCAAATCAAGTCATAATTACCTTTAATGAATCATCATATTCTTGATCAATATATCGAAGATTTGTATGAGCAATATTTAATATTTGTTTTTCAAGTTGTTGTACATGACCATGTACAAGTTGATAGTTGATCGATTCGGGAAAAAAACACCACCAAAATAAAAATAGGATAAATGGTGCAGATAATGCTAACAATACTGATTGGTAATCATCAATCCAATAGACAATCAATGATAATGGTAATACACCAAACAAACGAATCATTTCATTGAAGAAAATAATTTTCGACATTGAACCAATACCGGCTATTTCGATCACTAATAATAGTTGATTGACATTATTATGATGTTTGCATATTTTTTTTACTTAAAAACTTACTTATATCGGTCGATATCATTGATATAGTTGGCAATGATAATCCAAGTAAAAAACGACATAAAGCAAAATGTTTAAATTCTTGTGATAATGATGATAATGTACCGGAAATACATTGTAAAATGAGCATCGAAAAATATGATCGTCTATAACCGATACTGGGTGATGAACGAAACAATCGATAATAATCGATTTAATGAAAATTTCAAACAAAAAAAAACTTACTTATAACAAAGAAAATAATGTAATAGAAAACCAATAAGAAAACCGATTAGAAATACATTGATGATTAAATATTGTAGCCATTCATTTCGACAAACAAGATTCCACTATATATAAAAAAGAAAAGAAAATCAAAGAAAAATAATTCAATTGAGCGGAAATTGAAACCACAGAATCATCAGAATCAAGAAATAATAATAATAATAATAAATTGGTCATCATCATCATCACCATTAATATTGATTCCATTAATTTTTGTTTTTCGTTTTCCCCAGTATCTAGGATCATTCAAAGAAAACGACGGAAAAAAAAGTCAAATTCCAAAAGAAAGAGAAATTTTGATATCAAACAAGACATATCAATTAATATAAATGTTTTTGATTGAAAACAGAATAGCAATTTTTGTTTTTTTGGTTACTTTTTTCTCCACCCACCCGCAAACATACTTCAAAACCAGAATTCATTTCAATTTTTTTCATAAATAACATTATCAATGGCTATAGTAAAATTAAAATTGATTCTTCATCATCCGTTCAAGATCATTGAAATTGAATCGGAAATTGTGCAACAAAACATTATCATTATTTCAACCCCAATAATGACAAGCATGATGAGGACATTGCCCGAAAAAAAAACTTGTCATTTTATATTTTGTCAAAATTAAAATTTGTAAAAAAAAATTTAACATCTTTTTTTGCAAAGAATCGATTTTCAAAAAAACAATCGAATTTTCTGCCTTGAACATTATGTTTCAGCATTTGAATCGGGAAAATTGGTTGAAAAATAATTGGTTAATGTCAACAAATCATTCGAATGTGATCAATCAATTTATCAGATACACACACACACAATTCAATGAACCTGGTGGACATTTTTTTTCTTTTAATGGCGTCCAAACTAAAATTAAATGATCCAAACAACAACGAAAAAAAAATGGATAAAGTTGTTGTTTTTTCTGCTACATCCAAAACATCATTCAACATCATTAAGGCCAATGACAATGAGATTTTTTGTTGTTTTGTCTGATATGTCTGTCTATTTCATCGAATGTGAATAGGAAACTGGAACAAACAAAAAAATCCTCCATGATTCTAAGAATGAAAAACATCATCATCGTATCTGGTTATTGTATCAATTGAAAATGATGAATGAATAAGACGACAACAACAACAACATTGTAATTCTGTTTGTAATTTTATTGTTTCTCGATTTTTTTTCTCACAACAAAATTTAATTTTTTTTCCATTGTCGTCGTCGTTTGTTGCTGTTGTTGTTGTATGGAGTTTGCGTTAAAATTCTTATTATTGTCGTTGTTGTTGTTGTTAAGAATTTTCATTCGATTATTTCATGTTGTTCAACATGATAGACACGAGAGAAAAAAACGTTGACAAAAGAAAAAAAAACCAAAGAAAAAAGGCTACAAATTGGCGATGATTTATGACCTCAGCAAACAAAATCAAGAATCAAGAATGAAATGAAATGAAAAAGATTTGGATTTTTTTCTCGAAACAAATCATTTTGTTTGGTCCATTTTGTTTGGAACCAAGTTTCAGCAAAAACTTGAGAAAACGAACAAGACGATGCAGGACAAATCGAAAAACCAGATGACGATATTTAAATTGAATTAAATTTAAATGAAAAAAATTTTCTTTTTGTGAATTGTGGACAAGTAACTGGATAATGAATAATAATAATAATGAAAAATCACCCAACAACAACAACCGAACAAAACAAAATGTAATGACAGAAAATTTTTGAAATCGATTTTTTTCATGTTCACTGCTGTTCATGCCAGGCAATTCACTTCTGTCTATTTCGACAGAATGGGCGTCTCTATCGATTTGATTTTGGTGAATGAAAAAAAACTAATCGATTTTGAACAAACAGAAAAATGGAATTGAAATAGAAAAATGCATTTATTCACAATCCTCATCTCATCATTCGTGTTTTTTACAAATGAAAATTTCATTCGATCCAAAAACAGAACAAAACAAAACAAGAATATGTTTCAAATGTAACAAAAATCAATTCAAACAAACAAACAAAAATCATTTAGTTAAATTGCGATAATTAAGTGTTGTGAAATTATTTGGAACAACAAAAGTATCAACATTTAAAAAAAAATTGTCATAAACAACATGAATGATGATGATTAGCGATGTAGAAAAAAAACGTTAACGTTGAAAATTCAATTGAATTTTTTTCCAGTCGGTCGGTATCATTATCAACGAAAATGAAACAAAATCAAATGAAAAAAATCAAATCAATTAAGCTCTGAATGAGAGTGATGTGAACAAAACAAAAAAATTCAATGAAAGAAAAAAGATTCAGACAGATTTTTCCGCATCTTTATTGTTCGATAAAAGTTGTTGTTGTTGTTATGCGATGCTATTGATGATTTTTCGTTTGTTAGTTTTTGGTATCTCTCTTGATTGATTCTCATTTCATTTCATCAATTTGATTTTTGGAACATTAGCTTAATTAATAAAATTGAAAATACATCACAGATTTTTTTGGTGTGAATAGATAGTCATTGAATGTGTGAATTGGAGAAAAAAAGAAGAAATCTTATCAGTTTGACAATTGAATTTTTTTTCCTCTCACTTTAACGGCATTGAAAGTGATAAAACACGAAAAAAAATAGAAACGGAAAATGTTAAATTCATTCATGTTCTACGACGACGTAATCAATGTAATTAAAATGAAATGAAATGAAATTTACCAATTGTCATGTAGATAACAACAACAATCCAAAGAATTATTTCCGTTCAAAGATTTTATCGATTTTGATTTTGCAAATAAACATTGTTTATTATGACGGCCATAAAATACATGTCACATTGCGAAGATAAACGATTTACCGAAATAAAATAAATGAATCATCTTCTTTTTTGGTTTGATTAGTTTGACAGGATGATAAATTATTCTGTTTTGATTTATTCATTTTATCCAATCGGTATTTGGATTAAATAAAATCAAATAAACATACCTTGGTGACAATCGAATAATTTACATTCAACGATTGTTTTCGTCGTTCATTGCCGTTGTTTGTATATGACCAACCGGATTTACATTCAACTATCGATGGTATCGATATACGAATCGAAGATTTATGTTGAGTTTGATTTGTATTATTCCATATTAATAATAATGGAAATAATTGTCGATGAAATTGAATTAAATCCGAAAATGTTGAATTATATTGATAACATTGACTTAATTGATTTAAATATGTTTGAAATGAATGATTAATATTTTTTAAAAATTTAGACAAATCAATAATCGATTCATGTTGTTGTTGTTGACTACTATCATTTGATAAGATCATTGTTTGAAATGATTTTTGTCGAATAAAATAACGTGATGGTAGAAAAAAATAACGTCGAATATCAGAATCATCAGTATTTTTGTGAAAAAGAAGCTGATTCCAATCAATTTTATCAATCAAATTTGAATGTGATAAATTCTTTGATTGTAAATCAAGAATTTTTTGATAAGTATCATTCAAAGATGATGATGATGATGATGATGGTGGTGATGTTACACTGATTTGACACCAAAATTTTTCCGGTGTTTGAGCAATAAATAAATGTGAATAAATATGGCAATAATAATTTAATTGTATTGGCATCAATATAAAACAATATAATAGCCGTTGATATTGGCCATAATGACATAGTTCGGGAAAAACTTTACTAAATTCCATTATTTACAGACACAAACAAACAAAATTGATTAGAAGATTAGTTTGATGAGATTAGAAAAGGACTAAATTATGTGATGGAATATAGACAATGTCAACGCCATCACATCAAACATTAAAATGTGAATCACAATTCGTAGAATCCGGGCCAGAATCAAATTCATTCGAATATATGTAATCTACAAACGCATGAGCATTTTGAGTTGAAAAAGACTTTTTGAATTTTTCTCATTTTTACCATTTTAACCTAACCGGCTTGATTGGGTGAAAATCGTTGTATAATGTTTGTTGTCAATGATGCAAAAAACAATAACAACATGTTTTGGTTTTTGATTTGGTGACAAGCAATTTCATTTCTTTTTTATTTGTTGTTCTTATAATTTTTCAACGAATTAATCTTGTCGATTAATTGTTCTCATCATCATCATTAACAAAATTATCATTTTTTCTGGTAAAAAATGAGTTTTGATACAACAAATATTCATCGTTTAGAGGGAACAAAATCCAATGAACCAGGTGGCCTTTATGTTCCGAATAAAAAATCGCTCAAAAATCCTGGTACAGAAAATTTAAAATATCAAAAACCACAAACATCATTACTCGGCTTGGATACATTAGCGGCAAAAAAACGTGAAGAACGTGAAAAAAATTCTGTCGATGATGAACGTTTCAGTGGTGAAAAATTTCGTCACCATTCTTCCGGATCGAATGATCGTTATTATCGCTCGAAACGAATCGAAACACCAACCGTATTGGATGGTGTATCCGATGAATATCGTGAACGCAAAAAAGCTCGTGATGAACGACATCGTGATAAATATGAAAATGAATTTACAAGTAAACATTTTAGACGCCCACAACAACAACAACAAACTTCAAATAATCAGCTATCAAAATCATGGAAATCATATGATCATTTAACATCACAACAACGACGTCCAACAACACCATCAAAATCAGCTTGGGATGAAGATGATGATAGTGGTTATAATGGTAGTTCACGACAAGAATGGGAACGACCATCATCTTCATCACGGCGATCATCATCATCATCGACATCATCAAGAATTCCATCAACACCACGATTTACACCATCACATTGGACATCAGATCGGCGTGATCAATCCAAAAGTGTACGTAGTAATTCTGGTGATGATAAAGAATCTTCGAAAGAAAAATCCTGGGAAGAAGATGAAGATGAAATTCGTCGTTTAGATCGCGTTTGGTATGATGATGAATGTGATCAAAATCCATTTGGTGATATGCCTGATGATTATACCAAAGAAAAAGAAGAATCATTAAAAAAATCTAAAATTGTACAACGTGTTTCTGCACAACAACGACAAATCAATAAAGATAATGAAAAATGGGAAACAAATCGTTTATTATTATCGGGTGTTGTAACGAAAATCAATGAAAATCAAGATGACGATGAAAATATTGAAGGTCGTGTTCATTTAATGGTACATAATATTGTTCCACCATTTTTAGATGGTCGGATTGTTTTTACTAAACAACCGGAACCAGTTATACCGGTTAAAGATCCAACATCGGATTTTGCTATTTTAGCACGTAAAGGTAAACAAAAATTGTTTAAAATAGTTGTTTTTAAAATTTGTTTTATATTTGTTCAGGTTCTGCATTAGTTCGTTATCATCGTGAAATGAAAGAAAGAAAAAAAGCACAGAAAAAAGAATGGGAATTATCCGGTACACGTATCGGTGATATAATGGGTGTTGAAAAACCTAAAGATGAAATGGATAATGATAATAATGATAATCAAAAAAATGATTATAAAAATGAACATCGTTTTAAAGATCATATTGATGATGATAAAGATGAACGAATGGATCGTACAAAAATTATGAAACAAAGACAATTTTTACCTGCATTTGCTGTACGAAATGAATTATTACAGGTTATACGTGATAATAATATTGTTATTGTTGTTGGTGAAACTGGATCGGGCAAGACTACACAATTAACACAATATTTACATGAAGAAGGTTATACAAAATATGGTATGATTGGTTGTACACAGCCAAGACGTGTTGCAGCAATGTCCGTAGCAAAACGTGTTGCTGATGAAGTTGGTGTAAAATTAGGTGAGGAAGTTGGTTATGCTATACGTTTTGAAGATTGTACATCGAATAAAACGATTATTAAATATATGACTGATGGTATTCTACTGAGAGAATCATTATCTGAACCAGATCTGGATAATTATTCGGCAGTTATTATGGATGAAGCACATGAAAGAAGTCTGGATACAGATGTATTGTTTGGTATCTTAAGGCAAGTAGCTGCCCGTCGTAATGATATTAAATTGATTGTAACATCAGCCACAATGGATTCATCAAAATTTGCCGAATTTTTTGGTAATGTTCCTGTTTATATAATTCCGGGTCGTACATTTCCTGTAGAATTATATTTTTCAAAAAGTTCTGTTGAAGATTATGTTGATGCAGCTGTCAAGCAAACAATTCAAATTCATCTTGGTGGTTTAGAAGGTGATATCTTAGTATTTATGCCTGGTCAAGAAGATATTGAAATTACATGTGAAGTAATTAAAGAACGTTTGAAAGCATTATCCGAGACATCAACAACTGAAATACCCGAATTAGCAATCTTACCAATTTATTCACAATTACCTTCGGATTTACAGGCAAAAATTTTTCGTAAAGCAGATAATGGTATACGTAAATGTGTTGTTGCAACAAATATTGCTGAAACATCATTAACAGTTGATGGTATTATGTTTGTGGTGGATAGTGGTTATTGTAAATTAAAAGTTTATAATCCAAGAATTGGTATGGATGCTCTACAAATTTATCCAATATCACAAGCAAATGCAAATCAACGTAGTGGTCGTGCTGGTCGTACTGGACCTGGTTGTTGTTATCGTTTATATACTGAAAGACAATATAAATATGAAATGCTTACAAATACTGTGCCGGAAATTCAGCGAACAAATCTGGCTAATGTTGTTTTATTATTAAAATCCTTAGGTGTACAAGATTTATTACAATTTCATTTTATGGATCCACCACCACAAGATAATATGATGAATTCAATGTATCAGCTATGGATACTTGGTGCATTAGATAATGTTGGACAATTAACACCACTTGGTCGTAATATGGTTGAATTTCCATTAGATCCAGCAATGTCCAAAATGCTGTTAGTATCAACCGAGATGCAATGTTCAGCTGAAATATTAATAATTGTATCAATGTTATCGGTACCATCGATATTTTATCGACCAAAAGGACGTGAAGAAGAAAGTGATTTAGTACGGGAAAAATTTCAAGTACCAGAATCAGATCATTTAACATTATTAAATTCATATCTGCAATGGCGTATGCATAAATATTCAAGTCATTGGTGTCAACAACATTTTATTCATCCAAAAGCAATGCGTAAAGTACGTGAAGTAAGACAACAACTAAAAGAAATAATGGAATCACATAAATTACCAATAATATCATGTGGTAATGAATGGGATTGCATTAGGAAATGTATTTGTTCTGCTTATTTTCATCAAGCAGCACGTTTAAAAGGTATTGGTGAATATGTTAATATGCGTACAGGTATGCCATGTCATCTGCATCCAACATCATCATTATATGGTATGGGTTTTACACCGGATTATGTTATTTATCATGAATTAATCATGACAACAAAAGAATATATGCAATGCGTTACAGCTGTTGAAGGACAATGGTTAGCTGAATTAGGACCAATGTTTTATTCGATAAAAGAATCAACAAAATCACGTTTTGAACGTAAACAACAACAACGTGATCATGAAAAAGAAATGGAACAAGAAATGTCTATTGCTGAAGAATTATTACGGAGAAATAAAGCTGAAATGGATAGCCGACAATATTTATCATCAACAAGATCAACAATGATTGTAACGCCAGGTTTAAAACAACAACAACAATCAACATCGTCGTCATCGATGACACCGAATGCTAGTAATATCGGTAATCAAACACCAAGACGTTCGACACCGGGTCAAAGATTTGGTTTATAAAAAAATAAAAAATTTATTGATTGATTTTTTTAAAATGTAGATTTCCATTTTTCATTTTGTATTATAAAATTATGTTTTTAAAAAAATGAATTTCCAATAAAATTTTCCAATTTTTTTTATTCGTCTAATAAAATTTTCGATATTGACGTGATGTACATAAGCCAAACATTAAACAAATGATAAGCAGAATTAAACCGAATGCAATTAGATAAATTGATAAGGATGGATGACATTTTTCTATAGTTATTTTTTTTATAAAGAGGGTTTTATTAGAAAAGATTTTACAAAATGAAAAAAAAAAATTTATTTATAATTTACCTAATTCGAATGGTTTTTCCAAATTATAATTACCACATATATTTTGATGTTGTTGCAGTTGTTGTTGTTGTTCATTCCAACCAAGTGGATAGATAATACAACCGGCAATTATGATCAAAACTATATTCATTACAAATTAATTAAATTGCAATTAATTAAGTTAAATAGACTTACTAATTAAAATCTGTGCAATAACTAATAAACATGTATTTGATGATGTTAATGCATTTGGCATACAACAAGCAAACAGAAGAATCAATGATACCAATATTGAAAATAAAACACCCAGACCAACTAATATGGTTGTTAGTTTCCATGAAAGTGTTGGAATATCATCAAATTGTTCATAACGTATACATTTATACATTATATGAACATTATCTTCATTATTTGGATCTAATAATGGAAAATTACAACGACGAAATGGACTGAATGTTATTTTAATTAAATCATTTTGATCATTATCATTCATCCAAAATCCTTGTATCCAATATGGTAACCAAAAACCAACTGTAATCAATAATGATGATATTAATGATAATGCTGTCCACCAAACAAATGAACATAATAAATGTGTTGTTATTCCATTTCGATGATTATTCGAATGATGTTTGTGATAATTTCGATTCGATTCCAAATCATCCGGATGTTTATTCGTTAATGATGATTGTTGTTCGATAATTTTTTCACCATCATTAACGCCATCATTTTGGATTAACATTGTTAGTTTCTTTGACCAAAAACCGAAAACCAAATCAAAACAAAGGTTTTTTGACAACCACAACTTAATAAGTACACCCTCCTTTGTTTACATTTTTTTTTCGTTGAAAAAATGGGATCGTCTTACGCACGTATAATACTCGCTTGTACTTACTTTGCTTAGACTTGTCGCGCTGAATATTGCGAGATACACAATGGTAGTTGGTCGATCGGTTTCAGATTTTCTCATATAAACACCATCGATACATCGATTGGTCGATATCAATCGATGAATATATCATGATGGAACAACAAACTGGAACCGTTTCCGTTAACAAATCTCTTCAATCTTTAGATTTTTTTAAAGAAATCTTTTCAAGTGAAAAAAACATCGATTGTTTTCCCTTTAATCATTATCATTATTATTAGCCGATATTCAAAATCAAAAACAATCAATTGATTTTATTGACATCATCAATCAAAAATCAACAAGTTCAACGTTGAGGATTAGGAAAGTGGCAATCACTTTTTTTATTCGCCATAAACAAACTCGAATAACTAAAATCTTATCTAAAAGAAAGATAAAGATGATTTCTTCGATTGCAAACAAACAAACAAACAGCAAAAAAATGAAATTGAAAAAATTCATTCAAAGTCACGTTGAAATGTTTTTCTGCAAAAAGTTTTTCCAGAAATGTTATGAACAAAACAAAACAAAATAAAATTTTTTTGTTTTCATTTGAATAAAATCAAAATTCAATAAAAAATTTCATCATCGTCATCGTTGTATTTGTGTCATGTTTGCAAACAAAACAAAAAACATGTGTTTTATTTTTATTATTCATCGATTTGATTGATTTGATTTGATTTTATTCGCTTTGACCTTGATTTGACCTTTGTTGTTTTGTTTTTGTTTAGTTAATGTTGATCAAATAAGAAAAAACTTTTGAAAATGAAAATTTTATTCTATTCAATGGAAGGAATTGGTCATGTTCAAGCATGTCTTGGCCTGGCTAATTGCCTACGAAAACATCGTAATCATCAAATAACATTTATGATTGGTTCTGAATATCAGGGAAAATTCCGTCGATATGGACATGATGAAATTATCCTCAAGGATGATGGTGAAGATCCAAAAATGTTTGAAAAACAATCATCGAATGAAATCAATGATGATAATGATGAACATCCAGTTCTGCCATTGATTGTTTCCAGGCTACAAAAATCAATTGTTTTACAACATCGAACACCAAAAGAAAAACTTCAACTGCGTGATAATGCAATGTTTAAAAGAATTTATGAAAAAATGAAACGTTTAAACAATCAAATTGATCAATTAATTACGAAATTTGATCCCGATTTAATAATTATCGATCATTTTATTATTCCACCTTGTATTGCATTCCATCCACGAATACCATGGATATTTTTATTTAGTGGTTGTCCAGATTTTCTTTACAATTCTACAGAATTACCACCATTAATGTCGGGTATTTTTTTCAATCAATTTTCAACCCTTTTTTGCTTTAATTTTCTGATTTTTTACTTTTTTCAATTTTTTTCAATTTTCTTCAAGGTCTACCAAGTAATGATCGTAGTGAATGGCCTGAATATCGACAATTATTTTATGAAAAATATCAAAAACCATTACAAGATTTACAAAATGAATTGAATAAAGATTTTGGTTATGATCCATATCCTTCGACGATATTTTTCAATAAATCACCATATCTAAATATTTATGGTTATCCAAAAGAATTAGATTTTGATGATCGAGTGGAAAAACCCGAAAATTTTCTTCAAATGGATTCATTTTTCGATTATGATCCTAATGATTATTCAAATTATGAATTTCCGGAAGAATTTCGTCAAAAATTGCAAACTGGTGACCGAATAATTTACATTTCACTTGGATCATGTGGACCAATCGATTTGGAATTGATGAAAAAAATTATAAAATCATTACGCCAAACACCATATAAATATATTATATCAAAAGGACCATTACATAATGAATTAGAATTACCTTCGGAAAATATGTGGGGAAAATCATGGTTAAATCAACAGAAAATATTACCTAAAGTTGATTTAGTTATATTTCATGGTGGTAATAATACATTAGCTGAATGTATTATGCACGCTAAACCAATGATAGTAATGCCATTATTTTTTGATCAATATAGTAATGCACAACGTATCGAAGAAAAACAATTCGGTATACGAATGGATCCATATCAATTTACCAAGCAAGAATTGATAAACAACATTGAAAAATTATTATTTAATGAAAAAATTATTCGAGAAAATCTACAAAAAGCATCCGAACGTATACGACAAACAAATAGTGTACAATTAGCATGTATTCAATTGGAAAAATTGGTTGAAGAAACGAAGAAAAAATTTACGGAAATAAAATGATGATGATGATAATGACATGTGAAGTCATAACATATCATCATGATCATCACCAAAAATCAACAACTTTTTTCAATTTTATTATCGGATTTTTTTTTTATTTTAACATTGATCGATTTGTTTGATGGGGAAAAAAATATTACATAGAAATTTTTGAAGAAAAAAAACATAAAAACAAACAAATTGACAAACCTAGGAAGTATCGAATGGATTGAGGAATGAGAAAAAAAAACGAAGAAAAATCATTTAAAAAAAACCATTTGATGATGATATTACATTGACTTTTTTCTGTGTTGATGGTGGTGGTTTGACTGGCTAAATAAATTGATTTTTGTTGATTTTTGTTTGTTTGTTGTAATGAATGATGCTTTTAAAAAAATGACGAGGACGAGGAAAATTTGTACAAAATTAGAAATCACACTGAATGATGACAAAAATTGTTTAAAAAAAATGCGGAAAACAGAAGATCATAATTATTATAAAAAAATGACGGACATTTTTGGATTTTGGATTTCCGCTACTGTTCATATAGATAGAGAGATAAAGTAAAATACCGATATTGATATTCATGGAAAATGCTAAGCCATTTTTGTTTGGAAACTAACTTTTTTTTTGTTTTGTTTTGAAGTTGTCGATGATGTGATGCTATTTTGATGGCCAGAAAAAACAAAAAATTGAAACAATTTTTCATCTGAAAATGATTTTTCCCTACAAAAAAAGACTAAGGATGATGGTTCCTGGATTTGTTTCATCTTTTCTGGCAAACAAATTTGATCATTTTTCTACTTTTCGATCTGATTTGAATTTCAAATCATTTTTCGTTTCGATTCGATTCTGATTTGATTTTGCGAAAAATCCGAATCAATGAAAATCATGTTCATCATCTTCAAGTTTTTTGATTTGTTCATCAATCATTTTACCAATTGAACGTTGTCTTTGCTTTGGTTCTTCTTTACGTTCACGTTTACGTTTACGTTTATTATAATCAATATTTACTTTTAATTTAACATTTTCTTGTGTTAAAAATTTACGTATTTTATCCATAATAGTTGTCGGGTTAATATCTTGTGATTGTCCTTCATCGGTTGTAAATTCAACATGTTCAACATCATCTGTTTCATCCGGATCATATGGATAATGTTTGGTTGGATCATCATCAAATTCAGACATTGGTCCAGTGACCGAGATTTTTTTCTTTTTTTTAGGTTTATACAGTTCTTTAATTGAATAATCATCATCAATATCCAATGAATGTTTATCATAAACACTTGGTATTGAATCGGAAGAACTTGCTTCATAATCATCTTTATTATTTGTTGAATATTTTTTCGTTGCTGGTGATGGACGTCTTGATCGTTTTGATTGTATCGATGATGATGATGATTTCGGTGATTGTTGTTGTGATGATAAAAATGATGGTGGTGGTGGTAGTACCGATACTAATGGATTATTTAAATCAATTTGACCATGTATTTCATCATTATCACCGGTACTATATTTGGATTTTTTCTTTCGTCCAGGTTCTTTTGTTGATGCGGATGATGATGCATATTTCAATGGTATCGATGTATCTGATGAATATTTGGATGATTTTGATGATGATGATAATAATGGTTTATAAAGATCTTCATGATATAATTCATCATAATTATGATTATGATAATAACGATCTTCATAGCCATTATCATGACCATTATTACCATGATCATTATAATCATAATTACCGTTATAATTTGGTTCATAATATGAACTTTTTTTACCATAATATGGATCAGAATATGATGAATATGATGGTGGTTTGTAATTATCGTGATGATCAATATATTTATGATCATAATAATCATGTTTATATTCATCATAATAACCTTTACCTAAATCATAATGATGAAAATCTTTATATTGTGCTTTATGTTTTTTCTTTTTCGGTTTATGTTCGGTTAAAACTAAAACTTTTTTTCGATGATATATTTTTTCAACATCTTCGATAATACTGTTAAGCAAAGAAGAAATTAGAGAAGAAAATTCCAAAAATTCAATTGTCAAAAACTTACGGAAATGGAAATGGTAAAAACAATGGTAATGGTAATATAAGTTTTGAACCACCTTCAGGCATATGTAAGAATAAATGTTCATCATCATTTTTTTTTGCTTCAATCAATATCGTTGATGATGATCGTTGTTGTTGTTGATTATCGATTGGTGGTGATGGCGGTAATATATCCATCATAATAATGGTGAATATTATTATGAAAAAATTCATTGATGATAATTTCGTTATCATTTTTATCTAATTTATGAAACAAACAAACACAAAACAAAACAATACAAAAAACCATAAACATAAACAAATACAAAGACTAGATGTTGTGGAACAGCAGAAAATTTTTAAAATCGGTAACAAAATTCAATGATGATAATAATAATTTTTGTTTCTCCAATCCGAAAAAACGAAAACATTTTTTTGTTTTTATACTAGGGAAATGGTCCATTTGAATGGTTGGGTGGTGGTTATTATTGCAAAATAACCGCTATGCCCGGTTATTGCAAAATTTTCTTTTCTTTTTGTTTGTTTGTGGTATCGAGCTCAATGTTAATCAATATTATTAAGATGTATGTGTGTTGAAACTAAACGAACGAACAAAATATTCGTCTAGTATCGTCGTTTCCTCATGTCGTGATGTTTCATTTCATATTGAATGATTTCATTTTGGACGAAACAAAAATTTTCTATTTTTATTTTGAATGAAGAAAAAAACTAAAACAAAAACCGGGTTTGCCTCATTTAAAAAATCAGATTAATCAATTAATCATATTGAATGACTATCACCACCACCACCACCAACCACTGCTACTATGATGATAATTTCCTTAAATAAATAAACGAAAAACTTCTACACCATCAGATATCTATTCATTACAATGATCCAGAAATTCATTTCTGTCTTCATTTTCACACAAATCTAATCAAATATCGTTTTTCATCATTTTTTCTCACTCTCTCTCTCTCTCTCTCTCTCTTCAGGTTTTTTACCGTCTGCATTCGATATCAATATCATTCAATCAACATCATCATCATCAACATCATTTACGGTAAATGCGGAAAAAAAATCCACAGAAATTAAAGGAGAAAAAAATGTCAATATAATAATGGTTATGTTTTCCTTTCCAAATCATCATCATCTTATCTTTCTCTCTATGTTTCTTTCAAGATAATGATGATGATCATATTAATCAAATTTGTATGGATTTTTTTCTTAAACAAACATTTTTTTTTGAATGAATGAAAAAAATGCCAAAGAAGAAAAAAAGGGAAATGTTAATCATCATTCGATACCGGAACGATATTCATGAATGAATGAATCAATCAATCGAATTTGATTAGTTGATTTTGTTTGTTTGTCCAAATTGATTGATTGATTGATTGAATTCAATCAATTACGGACAAAAACATTGTTGTTTTTTGTCACCAAAATATCTATTAATAAATTCATAGCAAACATCAAAATCTGATGAAACTTTTTGATATTTGATATTTCCGACAGTTTTTTTCCAACAGATTATCCCGAAAAGATTTTTAATTGGAATTTTTTCTCCCCCCACCAAATCAAGTTAATCCAAACTAATTTCTTTTCCTTTTCCTGTTTTTTTTTTGATCGTCATTAGTCATCATCATTAGTTTTCACCCTTTTTTTGTTGTTGTTGTTGAAGAAGAAAAATGTCATCGATTTTACAATCAAGCCGGATAGATTTTCCATTAAATTTTTGATTTTTTTCTCGATTTTCATTGATCAAATATGATCGATTGTATCGATTTGATCTATTCAATGTCTTTTCGTTTCGTTTTTTGTTCAAAAAGAAAAAATCATTGTCTGCCTACCTGTAAGAAGGCCAAATCAAAGAAAGAAAAAAAATCGAATCGAATCGATTACAAATCAAATGTCAAATCTTTTCTTTTTTTTTCTTTTTGATTGACAGTCATCTGCTTTTGACATTTGATTTGATCAGGTCAAAGAAAAAACAAACAAAACAAAAAATGAATTGCATAGGATTTTCAATTGAATCGATTATACGAACGAAAAAGAAAAATTGATGGCCATCACACCATTATCATCATCATCATCATCGACACCATCACCACCACTATTACATAATCATATAATCATTATGTGTGTTTTTGATTGATTGATTTGATGAGAAATAAATCAATCACAGAAAAAACTTTTGCAATTCTGTTCAAGTTTTTTCTTCTTTTGTAGAAAGATGATGGATCACAAATAAATAAATAAATACATATAATCTTTGTTCCTGTTGTCGGTTGTTTGTTTGTTTGTTTATTTATTTACAATGTCAAATTCTCTCTCTCTCTCAATTTCAATTTAACTAATGGCTATTATTATGGATTTCTTTCCTGTTCCAATTGGAACAACTTTTGAGGAATTTAAATTTGGGAAAAAGATTCACAACAACGACATTCAAAAAAAAAAATATTTAAATTTTTCGATTTTCAAAGTCCTTAACATTTCCCAATGAGAAAAGATTATTTTTAAAAAAAGTTTCCCTAAAATAAAGTAAAATACATCACGAATTGGCCAAACAAAAAAAAAAGTGAAAGGAAATAATCTGCGAGTGTGTGTGCCGGGACAAAACAAAATCAAAATCCAATCAAAAATCATTAGATTCGTCAAATGAAAGAAAGCAAGAAATGATTAGCATCGCTTTTTGTCAGATTCATTCTATTCTATTCATTCAATACACATAAATCGTGTGAAAGTTTCACTGATGATGATGATACTGATGATACTAATGATAATGATTTTCTAAGAAAAAAAAAAGAATAACACTTTCTCATCATCATTAATATTGTCCAAAATAAATAAATGAAAAAATCTATTTTCAACAAAAACTAAACTAAACTTATAAATGAAAAATTCACAAAATTCCATTCATTTTCACTTTCATTTATTGAAATGAATTGGATTTTTCTTTTTTAGATTTTTTCGGGCGTTGTTGTTGATGTTTTTTGTATATTTGGAACGCTTCTTCATCCGTTTTTTGTTTTGTTGTCCAAAAAAAATTTTTCGTCAACATTTGTTGCACCGAAATAAAAAAAACAATTCAATTCAGTTTGTTCACAGTTTTTTGGCAAAAATGACAATCGTATTTTTTTCATTTTTTTCATTCAAAAAAAAAAATTTGTGATGAGCCAATTGTGTCCATTCACATCATTGTTAAAAGGAAAGAGAGATTTTTCTCTTGGATTCACACTTTCAATTGAAAAGAAAAAAAATTGGTGAAAAAAACAATCTCTCAACGAACGAAGCTTCTGTGATGAATGAATGATGAATTTCTTCTCTGTTGTTGTCATTTTTTTTTTATTCATTGTGTCAACTAAATCCCATTGGGATATTGAGAGATTTTGAAGATGTTTGAGAGTCCAAAAAGAAAAGAAAAAAGAAAAGGATTGAAAACCAAATACAATTGAAATTATTATCAATCATTATCATCAATGTCTTATGTAAATATTATACAGTTGTTGTTGTTGTTGTTGTACCAATGTACGATTATGAATTTCATCGTTTTTCATAAATATTTTTTTCATTATCCAAAAATGATTTGATGTGATTTGGATAAAAAATTACTATGTTGTTTTTTTCGTGCAATGATTCTTTAATTTACACATAGTGTTTTTGTGTGTGTGTTTGGCTGTGATTCGTTGTTTGTTTGCTTGGTTGAACTTGAAATTCTTCTTTTTTTAAAAAAATTCTGTTATCACCTGTGCCAACTGTCTGTGTCTGAGTGTTTGTAATCTGATTGAAATCAAATGATCATCAACAAAATTAATTGAATAAATTATCAATCAATCAATCATCATTATGAAGGTATGATTGATTTACAAAATATGTTTAATTCAAATATTCAATCAATGAAAATTGTATTTTACCATCCTGATTTTAGTTGAATAGAATATTCATCATACATTTAATGTCAATAATAATGATGACATTAGTATTTTTAATCAAATCAAATCAAGCATCGATGGGTGAAATGATGATGATGCATATTGGACCAATAAGAAAATTAATGTTACTTAAACATCTAATGACAATGATTTGGAGTAAACATTTGGGTGGTGGTGGCGGTAAAAAAAAATGTTATCCACAAAATTATCCAAGTGGTGGTGGTGGTTATCCAATGATGATGGCTGGTGGTGGTGGTTATGGAGGAGGTGGTCAAAAGAAAGGCGGATATGGAAAAAAACGAAGCAAAGGATATGGCCAATCAAAAAAATACAATAGTGGTGGCGGAAATGGTGGCTATATTGGACCTGGTCAATATATGGATGGTGGTGGTGGCGGCGGCAACAACTATGGTGGATCAGGAGGAGGTGGCGGAAATAATTATATGAATAACGGTGGTGGCAGCGGAGGTGGTGAATATACGAATGGCGGCAACAATTATGGTGGATCTGGTGGCGGCGGAAATGATTATATGAATAGTGGTGGGGGTGGGGGTGAATATATGAATGGCGGTAGCGGCTATAGTGGTGGCGAAGGACAATCTTATGGAGGATCAGGCGGTGATAATTACAATTATGGCGGAGAGAGTGGGGGTGGTGGTGGAAATGGATACGGTGAATCTGGAGGCGATAATTATGGTGGCAACGGAGGCGGTGAACAATCATATAGTAATTCTGGCAATGACAATTATGGCGGTAATGGCGGTGGAGGTAATTATCAAGGAGAAAACGGTGGTGGGGGAAATTACCAGGGAGAAAACGGAGGTGGGGAAAATTACCAGGGAGAAAACGGTGGTGGGGAAAATTACCAAGGAGAAAATGGTGGCGAAAACGGATACGTTGGAGATAATAACGGTGGTGGAAATGAATATAGTGGTGGCGGATCTGATGATTCAGGTCCAACACGAACGCTAGAAGAAACTTATGGTGCTGGTATTGATTTCAGCGGTGATTCTGGTGTTGGTTACGGCGGTATTGGTGATACTATGAGAAATGTATTCCTAGGTGATGGAAAAAATAATGGTGGAGGGGGATATGTAGAATCTCAAAACGGTGGTGATAATTATAATGGTGGTGGATCGCAAAACGGAGATTATAACGGTGCCAATAATGGCGGTGGTGGTGATAACTATGGCGGATTTCAAGGTGGGGGTGGTGAAATGGGTGGAGATTATAATAATGGTGGCGGTGGTGGTGGAATGGGTGGAGATTATAATAATGGTGGTGGTGGTAATAATTATGATGGATTTCAAGGTGGTGGTGAAATGGGGGGAGATTATAATAATGGTGGTGGTAATGGTTATAGTGAACAACAATCTGGTGAAAAATATGCTTCCGGTACAGCAACCGTTGAAATAAAATATCCAGATATACAACCAATAAGAAGAATACCAACAATAATACATCGAAATGTTGAATTACCACCAGTGTATAAAAAAGCCACGAAAACAATCATACATCATCCTACAATCGTTAATCATGAACCATTGAAAAGAATTATTGTCCGAAAAATTAATGTAAATAATCTGAATGAATTAAGAGAAATTATACGACCAAAACAATTGATTGATGCATTTGAAGAACATCAACATCAACATCAACAACAAACATCAAGTTCAAATCAACAATTTGTTATTGTTGATAAATTATCGGGTGAAAAAATTAATTCCAAACAAAAAAATCCTCATACTGATAATGATAATGAATTGAATATTGATTGGAATCAATTGAATGATGTAATACGGACAGCAGCTGATGCTGTACAAAAATTAAATAAACATCATCCACCAACCTATGTTGATGATATAATACCAATACCAATTGCAACAATAACAACGAAAAAAACAGCAACAAATAGGAAAAAACAAACAAACAAAAATCAATTAATCTAAGTCTGCCAAGTTTTAGTTTTTTTTCTTCTTATCATTATCATCTTGTCATCTTTCATCTTTCATCATCATCATCATTTTTTTCCATTATTATTGTTTATGTGTGTGTAATAAAGCAGTTAAATCAATTTTTTCCTCCAGAATTTATTATCATCATCAACATTATCTGATTTTTTTTCTTTCTTCATACATATTTCATTTAAAAAACACAACAAAAAAAATCCATTCTGTGTATACATTTGCTTGTCATTTACCTTTTTTTTTTTTTTTTGCTTTTTTGAGATTTTTATTATTATTTTTTATAATTTTAAATTAAAAAAGATAAAAAAAATTTTATTTATTTATTTTTTTGCACTTGATTCTCAGAAAAGAAGTTGTTGGGGAGAAAGAGATTTGGTTTAAATAAGAATATAATGTTAGGAATAATATCCAGAATTTCTTCTTCTTTTTTTGTTGGAATAATAAATAAGTTTCGTGATTTTTGGCCATTATTATCAAATCATGGATGATGGGGATGATGATGTTGGCCAATCGACAACAAAAAAACAAAGAAGAAATTGGGAAATCTAGCTTTAGAATAATAATGATTACCATAATCATAATTATGATTATGATATTTATCCTGACTTTTAATATTAATATTTAATTATGTTTCTAAGATTTTTTTTTGTTGTTGAGAAACCTGGATTGAAATTAAGTTATTTTTTTTTAATTTGGTTTAATCAAATCTTTCATTCATTCGGTGAAATGAAATCAGATTGACAACATTAAATGCTTCTGTGAATGATGGAGAAAATAATAAAGAATTTGATAAATGTTTTCAATAAAAATTCAAATGAAAATGATAATAATGATGAAATTCAAATTAAACCAAATCATAAGCTACCAAAATCATTACAAATATCATCGATTGGTACACATTTTTATCGTTATGGTATACATTTTTATTGTCCAACATTTATAATTGAAAATTTTAATCATTATAAACGTTATTGGTATTATAATCCATTGTTTATAATGATAATGGAATTAATCTATCTGTTTCGTAGTATGATTGCATTCTTTCTATCAACTGAATCGGCTGAAAATCGTCAATATTTTATCTATTTGGGTGATTATATGTATTGTATTGGTGCAAAAACACATATAAATTTGGCTGCCATTTGCTATATGTTGATTGGGATTTGTTTATTAACATTAAACATTTATAATCATCAACATGGTATGCGTCCAACATTTCTTTATTCATTAGGCTTTTTAGCTGGTCGTCAAACACCATCATCATCACATTTGAATGATTATCGTTACATTCGTAAAATGTTGACCAAAACACGTTGGATTATTAATTATTGTGAGATAAATACACGTACTGTAGGGATTGTATCATTCATTCTAAGTGCATGGCCATTATGGTTTGAATGTACAACCGAAGAATTTCTTCTATATGGCTTACCATGGTCAATTATATTTGCAATATCATCATTTTTTACATTTAGTGCTTATTTTTGGAATGCAGCTTATTTCTATATACTTTGTAATTATCTTTGTTATCAATTACGTGAAATTAATGATTTGATTAGTAATTTTATATTACGATTGAAATTAATTGAAAAACAACAACAACAACAACAAAGTATTGGACAACAACAACAACAACAACGACGAAAACAATCATTAAATAAACATAGTATTCGTAGTTTACGTATGAATCTAAATCGTATTGGTAAAGATATTGAACATTTTAATACAAATTATTATCGAGATGTTATATTTATAACAATAGCATTAATGGGTACATTTGGTAATGTTGTATTATATACAGCATTATTTGTACCGGTCGATTTGACAATACGTTTTTCATTATTTTATGCTGTTCTATTATCAACATCGGTTATTTGTTGGATATTAAATATTGCATCATTAGTTTATAATGAATCAGTTGTTACACGTAATGTATTGAATAAACTTTATGTTTCACAAATACAATATCATCGTCCAGATACATTATATAATGTTTGTATATTATTCTTTCTATAAAAGATACCTTGATTTACATTTCTAACTAATAATTCTATTTCATTAGATTTTACAAGCAATTGAAGGTCAATCAAAACAACATATGGGATTCTATTTTCATTTTATTTTTATTATTAATTCATCAAGATTTTTTGAGGTAAATTTTTGCTTTTTGATTTGATTTGAATCGAAAACAAAACAAAACAAACGTTGATTTTTCATTTCATTTACTTTTCCTTTTGACAATAGATTATTGGACTTATTGCCGTATTTTTCTTGAAAATCATACAATTATCATTTGCAAAACAATTAATTTGAAAAATCATCAATCGATCAAACAACGACGATTATCATTAATCGATCAAACAATCAATTTCCAATGTTGCAATTTTTTCTATCATTTCTTTTTCTTTTCTTTTAAAAAAGGGGGTTATTCATGCACTAAATGTCATAATACAAATCGTTTAGATAATTTGAAAAACAACCTTCACATTACCATATAGAGATTTATTGATTCAATTTTTTGTTTGTTTGTTTGTTTTTAAAAATGTCAAAAATGAAATAAAATAAATATGTTTTTTCTTTTGAAATTGAAAATGTTGATTTTCAACAACAACAACAAATTAGAATAATGATTTTCAGGTTGTGTACCTGAAATGAACTTGAAAATTATAATATTTTAGGGTGGTTTTTATGAAGATAAAACAAAGGCTGCTCATCAATTATTGATAAGCTTGATTTACAACAGAATTAAAAATCAAAAGGAGAATTCTTTATTGCCAAATTTCAATTGCTATTACCACCAACATCATCATTCGCAGACAAAATTGATTTTTGTCAAGGATAAACCGGATTTCAATTTGGATCGATAAAATTAATTATTAAATTTTAAATTAAAAAAAATTCAAATGATAAATTTGCTTAAACAAAAAAAAAATCTATTTGAACAACACCGACAATAACAAACGAAAACAAACATTGTTAAAATTGAAAATGAATGATGATTTATAATCACGCATTATTTACAAATAATTTTGATAAATTTTTGTCTTCAGCCAATGAATCATTTCATTTGAATGTTGAAGAAATAAAGGGGAATTAACTTCTGAAATTATCATTGGATTATTCATTTGCTAATTTGAATGAACTTGACATTTACAATATCAAAAAACAATTTCTTTAAGCTAAAGTAAAATTCAATCAATCAATTTACATTCAGTCATGATAATAATGAATTTAAACTTTTCATGTTGTTGTTGTTTTTCTCTCTTTCCTCTCTTGATGATAAATGTTTGTTTGGATTACAACAAAACAAAAGGAATATTATGTAAAATGGGATTCAATTCAATTCATTATCGTTGATTGTTTGTCTTTGTTGAATATTATTCCCCTTTCTTTGAGATAATTAATAATTTTTTTTCTTAATACCCCTTGTTTCATGGTCTGAATAAAAACCGGTGATAATTCTCGATCAGATTATCATTTGGTTTGTTTGGTTTGTTTCCTGAAATAATTTCCTAAACATAATGGAAACAATTTCACATAATAATAATAATGATAAAATGATTGTACAACATCGAAAACAACAGCAAAATGATAAACAAAAGAAAAAAAATAATGGCCATAATCATTATCATTTAATAAATCAATTAAGTGTATTGAATAGTGATTTTGAAAAAAATTTTGATCCATATAAAATAATTGATGAAACATATATTGTACGTAGTGTTGGTACACAATTCTATTCATATGGTATACATTTTTATCGGCCAGAATTTTTACAACCAAATTATCATCGTCATTGGTTTTATAATCCTGGCTGTATATTTTTTGTTAATTTTGTTTATATTCTACGCAGTATAATTGCATTATTTATATCACCAAAATTGCAAGAAAATCGTCAATATTTTATCTATTTAGGCGATTGGCCATGGTGTATGGGTGCAAAGACACATATTAATATTGCAGCAATATTCTATACAATGATGGGTACAAGCATTCTTATACTATGTTCAATACATTATTATCGTGGTAATCAACCAATATTTTTACATGCATTAGATTTTTTGGCTGGACGTTGTCCACCATCAAATGCACGTTTATATGATGCAAAATTAGTTGCAAAATTATTAACCAAATCAAGTTTTTGCATACATTTTTGTCAATTGAATACGGTTACTGTTGGTATTGTATCGTTTATATTAAGTGCATGGCCATTATGGTTTAAATGTTCAAAATGGGAATTTATACTGTATGGTTTACCATGGTCAGCATTTTTCGGCGTATCATCATCCTATACATACAGTGCTTATTCATGGAATTTAATTTATTTTTATCTAATTTGTTCATATTTACGTTATCGTATCCGGGAAATTAATGATCTTGTTACGAAATGGACAAATTTAATTACAAATCAATCAATCAAACGCAATCATCAACCACCAAATAGACAAAGAAAATCAATAACATTAGTACATATTGATTTTATTCGTAAACAATTTGATAATATTGGTCATGATATTGAACAATATAGTTCAAAATATTTTGATAAAATATTATTCTTTCTTATTGCATTGGTTGCTATATTTATAAATGTTGTCCTTTATACATCAATATTTATGCCAATCGATCTGACTGTCCGGTTATCATTATTATATTCAGTTGTATTGGCTATTATTGTTATATTTTTCTTATTAAATACTGCATCATCCGTTTATGAAGAATCATTAAAATCATTAAAAATTTTAAATAAATTTAATATATCACTACTGGGACGATTGAATGGTTATTGTGCATATGATGTATGTATTTTTGTTTGAAAAAAAATTCAATCTTTTAAATATTTACTTTTTTTTTGTCAAAATTCAAGTTAATGTTGGCTATTGAAAATCAATCAAAAAAACGTATGGGTTTCTATTTTTTCAATCTATTCATTATTACTTATTTTAAATTTGTTGAGGTTGGTTGGTTTCTATATTTTATTGATCGAATTGATTGATCGATTGAGTATTTGAAAAATCGATTGATTATTCATTTTTTTTTCTTTTCTTTTTTTATTCACTGTACTCTTCATCCGGTGTACGATGATTTAGATTGTCGGTTTGATAGTTGCATATTTTTTGAAAACAACACAGATGTCGTTCCAGAAACGTTTGATTTAACCAGGAAAAAAAATATGATTAATGAATATAAAATGCAAAAAAAATTCAGAAAATCACATTATCGTTTTATTTCATTTCATTTTTTCCCCTTCAAAAGAAAATATTTCTCATTTTAAACACAATTACTACTGAATTCCATTATTTCTCCTGTCAACAACAGGAAAAAATCAATGATTTTTCACAAAGAATTTCTTCTGCAGAATAACTTCATTATTTTTTTCTAGGTCGGATTCATTTTTCGTCAAATTCTTCAATCACTGAGTTTATGCTTTTTTTCTAGTTTGTTCTTCTTTTACATTATAGAATTAACGAGAACAAACCAATAAAATGTTAATCAATCATTTAAAATCAATCATTATGATGATTGTAAATGAAATATCACCAATTAAACCATCGAAATATATTGAACAATGTTTAAATCTTAATCAAAATATACAAATTTATCATCATTATCGTTTCAGAATGATTATTATAATTTTATTACATTGGTTATTTATAGTAAAATTATTTTCTCAATATCTATATCGAAATGTAGAAAAATATCGTTTATTAACAATAGATATTACTTATTTATTTAATTTGGATGATTTTATCAATCTAATATCAATACCATTAATATTTATGATACAATATTTTTTTCATATATTTTATCTTAAATTTAATCAACGTTTATTTAATATTATTTGGAAAATATTCCATAATCATCAATGTAATGATTATTTTCTATATCCAACATTTCATTATTCACAATCATCATACAATTGTTGTAGTTTTATTTATAAAAATTCATATCGTTTTTTATATGCATTTCAACCGATAATCATTCTATTGAATATAATGATTATAATTTTACATTTTATTTATTTGAAAATATTGTTCATTGGAAATAATGATGATCAACCAATATTTTGGGAAAATCTTCAAATATTTATCATACAGCTAGTTATAGCCGAATTCAATTGTTTATTTACATTGTTTATTTGGTTTTGTATGGCACATATATTAATTCTTGCAACAGTTGTTTTGTTTATATTTGCAAGTGTAATATTTATTAAATTAGATCAATGTAATCAGCTTATCAAATCAATTATGTATCGAATGATAATGATATTGAGAAATGGTAACAATAAACTACAACAACAACAATTATTCATTAATTATCGATTAGATAGATTTATGCTTGAACATACTGATACATTAACATTAGTTGAAAAAACTGATCAACAATATTCAAATTTATTAACAATATTTCTATTATCAACAACACCATTGAATATTATTTTGATGGGTTCATTTATTATTCAATTACAACAACAACAACAACAAAAAACATTATTAGAACAATTATTATCATTATCCATGACATTTCAACAATGGATTGGTGTATTTGGTGCACATTTATTATTTGCTTGTTTTTCAACCAAAATACATAAATGTTCCAAATCATTATTATCATTAGCAACCAATCATTATTATTCAACAACAACAACAACTGATATACAACAAAATCATCATCAACATCAATTTTGTTGGCCAATACGTAGACAATTACGTTTAGCAAATTATATTGAAAAATTTCATACAAAAAATCATTATGGTTTAACATATTCAAAAATAACATTAATATCATTCAAATCATTTGCAAAGGTTTGTTTGAATGTGTTTTTCATTTTTTTTTTATTTTTCAATCTAAATAGACAATAATTTTTTTTCTTTCGTTTCGTTTATCCATTTTTTCTAGTTTCTATTCATCTATGTTAAATGTTTTTGTTTTGCATATAAATTGTTGAAAAAATCAAACAAAATTTGAAAAAGTTTATTGGAAAAAAATAACGATGGCATCGATGGTCGCAAATATTCGTTCATCGCTGGATTTTTTTCGTCCATCAATATTTAAAATCTTGATTATATTTAATTTACAAAATGTATTTTTGAAAAATTTAATCCATTTTCCTTCCATCACCATTTCCAAAATTCATATCGAACAATGTTTATTATCAATTATGGCCAGATAATGTTTTTCAATAAATATTGGTAGAATTAGCCATCTATAGAAATGTTGTTTGAAAAGTAAAAAGAAAAAAAAATTAATGAAAAAAACATGGACTTTATGAAAAAGAAGAATAAAAAAATGTAAATCATTAAATATAAATGGGGCAATAAAATCACACACACAAACAAACAAACAAACACAGTTTGATGATAAGAAATCCATCATCAAACATCATTAAACTCTATTTTCATATATCATCATCATCATCATTTCATGTTTATTTGGGCGTTTTCTTCCATATCATCATATCGCATTACATTTTGCGAATGATGTTAACTATGTGAACGTGTGTGTGTTATATATTTTTTTAACAAAAGTAAAAAAGGTAAAAGGTAAAACTTACCTAATGGGAATCAATAATGCAATAATCAATGGAAATATAAGCTGTATATATTCCCATGATGAAAAACCAAAAAAACATATTAAAATCAATTGAAACAATTGAATTATTGTAAATAAATGTACAATACGTTGTGGACATTTTCGTAGATAATGTGTTGGCGGATAGGAAGTCTTTCCAGAAGAAAAAAATTCACAGGATTTTTTCGGTTAAGGGGAAAAAATGAGAAAAAAAAGGAAAAGTTATTAATTTTTTTGAAAAGAGAATCAAAAACAAAACAAAGACGGAAATAGAAACAATTGAATGTTGGTTGATTTGAAATTGAAACAATCGAAACAAAAAGAAGAAGGTATTTTTTCTCTATTTTGGGTTTTTGTTTTTCGTTTCGAATGAAACAAGGAAATTTGAATTTTTTTCATATTTTTTCATTTTTTTCTGGCTTACCTGTTCAGTAAAAAACAATAAAATACGTTCATATAATGAATTTTCATGTAATGTTGATGCAGCACAATAAAGAAATAGACCACATAATACGGCAACAGGTATGTATGATAAAATCCATGGTATAAATATAATAACAATTGCAATCAATATATGTATCATAATACCAGTGATACGTGTTTCACGACTTTTAATAACAATTTGTCGATTAACGTTGGATGTATCACCTGAATATGATGCAGATGCTGATGATGATGATCCAACGGTAATAACATCAGCTAAACTTCTTGCATGCATTGGTGAATGTGGTAATATACCATGCATCCATGGATAACCGATTAATGATAGACCAAGATTAATAATGGCAACAATTAATAAATCCCAATGATATGCATCACCTTTTTTCAAATGATTTGATGGTGATGAAACTAATGCTGCCGATACATTTTGATCAATAAAAAATAACATTGATAATGCAAAACCAAGTATAAATGATAATGCTATTGATTCTATAGTTAATGATTTAAATCGAACTAAATGCCAAACATAATCATTGGAAACTTCAAATGAATCTGGTTCGATACGTTTGAATACCAAGGAACCGATTAAAGCAAATATAATAACCGATATTGGTAAGGAATAATCGGCTAATGTTACGCGTAAAAATTGAGTCAAATATGGACTATATTTTGTTGTCAAGGGATGAAAAATGATGTAAACAAACAATAAAAATAAAAATAAAACTTACGTTGTACTAAAATTATAAAGCATCAATCCTAATATAAATGTTCCAAACATTAAGAATAAAAAAAGAATACTTTTTTCAGGTGCACAATTAGTATCGATAGTATCGATAGTTATGGTCGAATTAATTGTTCGATTGATCATCGAATTCGATTCATTAAACGAACAAGAATAATAATTTTGTTGAAAACTATCCAAACATTCACGAATTGAATCGATTGTAAATGCAAAAAATATAAATGTTGCAAATATTTCTTCAGTTGATCGTGTACAATAATGCATTAATTGTGATAAATCAAATATTGAATATATTATCAGGAAAAATGAATTCCAAATACCGACCAAAGCGAATAAATCGAAAAAATCAACCGATAAATTCTGTGCAATACTATTGACAATTGATGTATATAGACATAATGGTGCTGTTGTTGCAATAATAACTAATGGTTGACCAGAAATTAATGCAAAAATCAAACCACCAATAGCCTGACCAAGTAATGCTTCTTTTGGACCAATTTTCCCATCGGTATTATGTTGATTCAATACACCGAATGCAACACAAGGTAGAATGCAAGCAAAAAATAATGACATTGTTGATGATAAAACTTTAGCCAATGTTCGCCAACTATCTAAACCATCACTATAATCACTTAGATAATAACGGATTCGACGTTGAAAATTTTCACGTATACCACGACCAAATGAACATTGAAAATGTTTTGCTAATCTATTATCCTCACCATTATCACTATCATCATCGATATCTTTGAAATTTTTATCAATTTCCATAATATCTTGATCTAATGATTTAAGTTTTTGAAGATGATCATCAATAATTGCGGTAAATAATTGTTCATCATTTGTATGTAGTAAATCATTACGTAAACGTGCATCCGATAATAATGTTGCAAATGTTCGTGCAATTTCGAATGCATTTTTTGTTGATTTTTGTGGCGATGGAACAACAATCATCACTATTAAACGTAATGAATTTAATGTTGGACCAAAATTTGTTGGCCTTAATAATCTTGTAATGAGAATTTTACGTGTCGACAACAATGATGTTGATGATGATGTTGATGATTCAATTGATGCAAATACACAACACCATGTTGAATCATGTAAAACACCATCATGATGATTATTATTACCACCATCATTATTATCACCATAATAAATTCCTTGAATGAAATTTTTAAATTGATAACCATTGTTATCGTTGAAGATTGCTTGACGAAATTGTTCATATTGTTCCGCTGACAATGTTTCTGGTGTATCGGCTATTTTCTATTTGAATCATTGACAAAAAGAAGAACAAAAAATCAAAATGCAAAATTCAAACAAACAAACCTTAATCATCATTTCAATTATATTATCAACATTTGAATCATAAATATTTAATAATATTAATGGATTTCTTAAAAATATTTCAATATCACGTTGTGAACGAATTTCATTTGTAAATGATTTCATTGGTATTAAATTATTTTGTATTATTGTTAACATTTCCGTATTGGAAATAAACATTGAACGTCGTTGTTGATATTGTTTAATAATTTCCATACGATCATATGAATGTATTGCCATTATTGATGAACGTGGATAATCATTAATAATTTCAATCGAATCTTCATTATCGATATCCGATATTGATTCATTATCGATAGTTTTTATTGACATTTTTCTCTCTCTCATTTGCTTTCTTCAATTGAATCAAAATCAAAATTGAATCAAATCAAACTTTCAAACTAAAAAATTTGATCCAGATTCGGAATTTTTATGATGATGATGATGATTGGAAAAAATAACCGAAAATCAAAAAAAAAGAAGATAATTTCTGGTAATAAAAAGCAAATTTTATTATCCACAATAAATGATAAATTACTTTGATAATTATCATCATCATGGATACCAAACGAAAATAATCAACGACATCGAGAGAAAAAAATGATGAATTTTCTTTTCTTAATTGTTTTTTTTTTCATTCACAATTGAAACAAACAATAAGAGAAAAGTAAAATGATTGATGATGATGATGATTGATCAATATTAATTAATCAATCAAATGTGACAACTTGTTTCCGAAAAATTATATTCATCATCATTTTAAGGAAATTTCTTGGGAAATGTATGCGAAAAAAAATTTATCCAGGAAAATTTCCAAGAAATCTATCGGTTAACATTTTTTGATCGAACTGATATCCTAAGTTTTTTGGTTTAAATTCCGGTAATGATTGGTATTTTTTTCCTTTTCAATAATCATAAATGAATCAATTGATTGATTCAAGTGCAAAGATCATTATTGAATTTCTTCGAAATTCTTTTTTTTCGGTACATTTTAAAGCATATTTCAATTCAATTTGCATAATGATCATCATTAGCCTTTTTTTTATCTTGCCATAATCATCGTCATTATCCAATGACGACAACGAAAAGCAATTCTTCATTTGTCAGGTAGTTCGATAATGATTTTTGTTTCCAAAATTACTGATTTTATTTATTATTTCGAAAAATATTTTCAAACAACAACAACGACGAAAAAAAATCAATCATTTGCTTCATACATAAATTACTTTCATCAGACATATAGATTTTTTCTTTTAAAAAAAACTAACAACAACAAAAAATATATTTTTAAAGAAAAAATGTTCTCCAAATGAAGATTCAATGTAATTGCAAATAATGGAATGTTGAAATTCATTCAAGATTTTTCATATTTTGTTGTTTTTTTTGTGATACAAATAATGTACACTTTTTATACATTTCAAATTTGACTTGCCGGAAAAAGTCTACGTAACTGAATGCAATCGACGTACCTTTTTTTTAAAAAAGAAAAATTTGATAAAATAAGAAACCGCAAACAAAACAAAAAAAACAAGTCACAAGATTTCTTCAGAAGAGAAAATGAAAATCAATAAAATTAATTCATTCATTCACACAAAACAAAAAAAATACAAAACGAAAGTTGTACGAAAAATAATCAATGAAAACTAGTAAACAAAAAAGGATTTTGAAAATATGAAATTCTTCACTTTGTTTCATTATTTTTTTAAACATTTTTTCGAAAACATTTTGGAAAAATTTTCTTGAAAGAATAATCAAAATTCTGCTTAGTTTATTGATGATATCAGCGACAACAACAATGGAATCGAATGATCCAAATCAAAAATTATCATTAGATTTACCAACAAATCCATATAATTTATTATTAGATCGTATGATCAATCATAATCTATTACCATAT